GTTTTTTCTTTGGAGGAAAGGAAAAACAACAAGGGTTTAGGACAATGTTTAGATCCAATGAGCCTTTTTTTAACCGGCCTTTACAAACCGCATTTTTGGTTATCCCAGGGGGTTTATTTTTAGACCTTTTAATTTTGGGTTTTAAAGAAAAATAGCCCTGGTTTTCAATTGAATCCGGCGGAAATTTTATTTTGGTAAAAATTTATCTTAGAAATTAAATTGCGAATTGGAAGGATTTGCCTAGATAATTTTGTTTTCCAGCTTTGGAAGGAATCGTTTTAGTTAAATTTTCGATGCCGAATAAGATCTAATTAGAACAATGGGAGAGAAATTTCTTTTTCCCAACAGCAGCAAGACCAGCAACAGGACCAGCTGAGCCAAAGATCGGTTGATGTTACAGAGACTAGTAGTGGTGATGATTATACTCGTGAATCCAATGAAGATAAAAGTGAGACACAAGCTCCTATGAAAAATGAAAGTACTGTATTGGATTCAAAGAAGAGAAAAATTTTTTCACTGATGATGAAGAAGATATGTATGTTGTGAAAAAAAGTTATAATGCTGAAATTTTGAATACCCCATCAAAGAAAATTGTTAGCAAACCTTCTATAACTAGTGAATCAGATTCTAGTAGGAAGAAAAGAAAGAAAGACGTCGCTGAGACTAGTTTGATTGAAGAAAAAGTCTCCAAGAAAAGCCCTACTAAATCTCCACACAGATCTCTCATTATTGAAAAGTTTGAAACTTCTGATTCTTCCGATTCATTTGTTGCAGCAAACTCTTCCCTTATGTCAGAAGATTTCAAAAAAAATAAAGAGAAAGACTTTTCCTATAAAAGAAGAACAATTGCTCCAGATTTGGCAAAACTGAAAGTGTCACCAGAATTTACAGAACAGTTAAAAAATGCAGTTAGGGATAACAATGAGAAGATAATCGAATCAAAGATTTGGGATTCTGCCTCTTCATCAATTGTTGAAGAAGTCAAACAAGATGTTAAAGAGGTGATGGAGATTCCATCCTCAAATAACACGTCATCTGTGGAAAATGTAGAAACTGAAACTGAAACTGAAACTGAAACTGAACCTGGAACCGAAAAGGAAGATCAAGATGCAGATTTATCTGTAAAAATATCTACCCCCGAACTGCCAACAAATGCAGATGTTCAAGAGGCAGAAACTCGTGAAAAGGAACTGGAGGAAGCACTTAAAAACACTGAGGTCATCGAGATTAAAGAAGAGGGTTTATCTGAAGAATCAACTGAAGTTGCTTCTAGTTGTAAATTAAAGAAAATAGCCAAATGTGTTGGTTCAAGCTTATATAGCTTGGTTGTATTTTTACTTTTCATATTACCTGTCCTATATGCTGTTTGGTATAGAGAACAACGAATCTTAACAGGTTATTGTAGTCAAGAGTTACCGACTTATCATATTCCACAACAGTACAGGGAAAAATTCCCAATCTTAGAATCTTTAGATCAAACTTTGGATCTGTATAAGCCAAAATGTATTCCATGTCCAGAAAACTCAATATGTTACCCCAAATTAGAATTAAAATGTAGACCAGAACATACATTAGTTCCAAATAAATTTGGTCTTTATGGTTTGATTCCTTTATCTGGATCCTGTGAATTAGATGGAAAAAGAAATAAGCTAGTTTCGGAGGTTGTTAAACATGCATTAGATTTTCTGAGGGCTAAGAATGCAGAAATTTCATGTGGTGAAGGCTCTGATGATCTGATCAGTGGCATGCTAGAACAAGAGTTATATCAAATATTCCATGAAGCTCGTGCTCCATGGATAGATGATGAAGAATTTGAAGAATTATGGGAGCAAGTCGTTGAACAATTGAAAAATGAGAAGGAAATTTCTTGGAGGCAAGTGAGTATTAAATTATAATTTTTTTATTATTATTCAGAACATAATGATTACTAACAAATTTATATAATTTACTTTTGTAAACAGATACAATCCGAAGACATTGAGTCTAGAAGAGAGCCAGATGGCTTCAAGAGGTCCAATGACATTCAAAAACAGAAGGAATATATTCAATCAGATGAAAACCAGGATAAAGACAGGGTTTTTCGCTCAACATCCAAGAAGTACATCAGCTTCAAATGCAAATTTGAAAGAGATGTATACCAGACGTACTTACAGTACAGATATTTAGTTTGGGCAACTATAATAATGGCTATTGTTTACAAATTTTCAGAATACAAATTAAAAAAGTATATTCAAGAAAAAGAAAAAATTGATGAACTTACAAAATTTGTAATTGTAAAATTAATTAAGGCAAAATCTCCAAATAGTAACAATTCTGAAGTTTCTTATTTAAGTACAGTTCAATTAAGAGATATTTTCTTATCAGATGTAGTGGACTTAAAGTACAAGAATTATTTGTGGAAAAGGGTTGTTAAAAAATTGGAACATAATAATACAAATGTAAAGTCAAGTCTGATTGAAGTACATGGTGAAATTATGAAGTGTTGGGAATGGATAGGACCTATTGATGTTGAAGAAGATACCGAAACTAAATAAAGATTTTTCAGCTAGTAAGGGTGATGATGACTAGTGATGATGATAATGATAGGAAATCAATAATCGTTGGAGCTAAAATATATAAATTTGGATTAAATAGAAAGTTAATAGACCCCGATACTTATGGATGTAAAATGACGGTTTTATGGAAAAATGTAATTTAATGAATAATTATTGTTGTTATAAATAATTGTTAACTTTAAAGAATCTTATTTTATATAACTACACTTAAAAATATTTTTATATTTAGTTGATGAAATAAACATTAAGTAATCATTAACTATTCTTTTTTTGTTTGTGTAATTATCTTTCGAGTAAATAGATAAATAAACTATAGGGCAACACCCTGTGTTTGTTGAATTTCGCCGTATTGGAAATGGTAACATCTTCTATATTCCCAACTTAAAATTCATTTTACTGTGTCGTTGCCATTAATTTTGACGTCATCTTTTGGAAATAAACCTTTATTTTATTATGGCGAAATTTCGCGATGCTTTCAATTGTTGACAAAAAAAATAATAACACATTGAATTATTTAGACAAACCTAAAAGATAAAAGAACTGTTAAATCGATGATCTATGAGGAGCATTTAAGGGAAATTTCTCAATTCCATGAGTTATAGCTTTAAGGAAACAAGTTGGTGTATATCAAGGTAATGATGGAAAGATTTTCTAACTATTCCCCCAGATATAGTTATAATGCAATATTCAGTGATGTTTGTAAGGCAAGGTTTAACCACTTAGCAATGAGATTGTTTGTTATATTAGTGATAATGGAAGCTTCCATATTCACAATACTGTCAAAAAGTTATTATTCTACTTTAGAGAGTCTTTTTCTATTCTTAATCAAATTCATTTTACTTTATTTTGCATCATTAAGCATTTCAATAATTAGAAAAAATTATTTACACGTTCAATTTAAAGGATATTCAAATGTAATAACCCATGTACTTGGTCAATTATTTAGTTTGAGAACAATAGTATACCAATTGCTTCACGTATTTTGTTCTGTTTTAATATCATTAGCAATTGGTGAAAGTTTTGGTTTATCCTACTTATCCGCCAATTTACTAAATTATTATAGAATTTACATCTGGTTTATTATTCCTACTATTTATACTGTTCAGCATAGTATGTTTGATTTAGATAGATTGTCATTTACTTTTGAATCTCAATTCGAACCCCCACAACAGTTTATTGCACTAAGAATATATAGAATGATAGTAAAATGTTCAATGTTAACAGTATCGTTAATGTTTTTAACACCCATTATCTTCTATTTTTTAGCAGGAAGTTTTTTCATAGGATTCCTGCCACAATTTGAGTTATATTTGGTCTCGTTTTTGGTATTTCTACATTTTGAATTCGTGAATATTGCATTTAATGCTCATATGTCAATTGGATGTTTACATAAGGGTAAACCAATTTCCTCACTTTTACCAACTAAGATAGAGACCTTAATTAGCGGTTTAACATCCAAAAAACAATTTACCAAACTAACTGCATTTCAAGAATTAGCGTATAGAGCAACATCTGTTGATCCAGGTATACGTACATCTATATATAACAGCAGACACGGGAATGTAAATTTATGGTCAAATATTGTCAAAGAATGTCTAAATAACATAAACGAATCCAATCAAAATGTGAATGCATATCTAATGTCAGTACAGACATATTTAAATTTGGATTCATCAAAAACACCAACTGAAGGAAAACAAAACTTCGTTGATATCCAGAATGAAGACGTATTATTTGGTAGCCATCCTGTATTATCTAAAAATTTGTATCCAAATGCAAGCAACAGAATTCCAGGATCTATTAATGCCGATGATATAAATTCCAGTAGACTTAACGTTAGAAACGAAAAAATACTCTTAGGGGGTGGAAGAAGAGTTATCAATGCTAACGTTAATAAAAACCAACCATTGAACTCCATTTATAAAAGAAGGCATTCAATAAATGAACCAATTTTTACACATGAGGCAGCATTCTTTACAATACTGAAAGTTCTTTTTGACAAGATAAAATCAATAGTTGCAAAATTTTTCTTTCCATCAGTTGAATTGACGCCTACAAATTTGCAAAGAGTGACAATACTTGATACATGGTTAATCTCTAAGAAATGGCAGGCAGAAAAATTGATTCCATTACCTGTTTGTCATGCTAATAGTATCATAAGTTTAATGGGGTTATTGATGAATGCTATAGATGAAGATCCAAGAGGAGGTGTTGTATCGTCAGTTGGGGAAGTTTTGAAGACACTAGAGAGGTCTGTCGGGATTCTAGGAAAATTTGTAGACTGGGATCCATACAATTCAACAACAATAACTCAAACAGAAGAAAAAGAGCCAAATGCAGTTTCAATATTATATGATTTTTCAATTAGTGCATTTTTAGAAATTGTATTAAAATACAATGTATTACTAAATGACGTATATTTAGATGAAGATGTTGTGAAACTAAGTAAATGGGTTCTAGATTTATGCAACTGAAAGGTGAACATGAAATAAGTTATCTTTCTTTAGACAAAATCCTTAATTTAATTATTCAGCATCGTCATAACCATCATCGTCATCGTTGCCGGTGCGGTCACACTAAGACAAAGAATTCATAAAAGTCTTTGTTTCTTTATTTTAGCATTATATAATTTATATATTTTCCAGGGAATAAACCCAAATAGATACACAGAAAACAGTAACCCAATTGACATGGGCTGATTTAACTTTCCCCTTCTTCAAGTCGAAACAAATAAGAAACTATCCCTGTCGTTACCATTGATTGATTATCTTAATAAAATGGCATAAAGTTTAAAACCTTAATTTATGATTATGCAGTCATGTGACCAAATCAGATTGCCTAATTAGGAAATTCATGTTGATAAAGGTAAACATCATTAAGAAACTCCCGGAGAGCTGCATTGATATTTCGAAAATTGAGACATTAATAATGGAAAGAGGAGTGGAAAAGAGCCTTTTTTTGATAGTAGTAACGGTAATCGTTGGGTTTACTAAATAATGAATTTTAAAACCATTTCGAAATTCGAAACTCTTTGAATTTATAGGTTCGATGAGGTCATTAATGTATTCATTTTAAGGTTTCATCTTGGGAATAAAATACAAGTGATTTTGAAAGATAAAATTGCATAGATTGTTAGAATTTTTATCAAACAATTATATTCTTTTATAAAAGGAAAGAGATAGTAATAAAATACAGAAATTAGTAATTAAATATAAACAGATTGAAGTTTACTTATAATTAAAAAAATCAAACATTATATATACAGATTTAGATTTTATTTGACATGGAATGCCTTGCAATTCCTTCGTTGAGGTTTTTAGTAACCTCTCCTGACAAGAGGTTAATCAATTCAAATTTATTTATTCATGTGCATCAAGAAACTTTAAATTTAAGATTACTTCAATATATCCATCATACTATTTATGAAAAAATACAGGCAGAATCAGCCATAATCAAAGTTACTGATTCCAGTTCAGAAGAAGAACCAACTGAATTATTTGGATTAGGTCATATTTCAGAATATTGTCTAACTTACAATTCAAAGATTATCGAATTATCAGATATTGTTAAAAATATCGAATCTGATTCCTCATCTTGGTTAATCCAGTTAGAATTCAAATTATGTGATAAAAATTTTAGATATAGACAAAAATTAGATTATCCTATCTTTGGCGGTTTTAATACAGTTAATATTCATATTCAAATTAATACATGGTCGAAAGAGAAAAAAATTGATATCATTGAGTATAATATCCCATTAAGATTAACCATAAGAAAGTTAAAGGATAAAATATTGGAACATCTAATTAGATATGAAACTTCAGAGGAATTAAACTTTTGTGGGATTAAAAGAAAACATAACGTAAATGACTTTGAAAGCTTAAGGATAAAGGGTAAAAAAACTACAATATTTTTAAACGATTCACAGGATTCAGAAATATACAACGATGCTACCATTTCTGAATTACTAAATATCAATTTCCCATCTGCTAAAAATAGTTACTATACTCTATCCTTTAAATTAAACCATGGCAAACATAATCACCACCCTAATGAACGATATTGTATCGAATTTATTACAGAGGCAAAGCTAACTACAAATAAAATGATAATCACCCCAGAGACCACTGTTGATGATGTAAAGGAATATATCTGCTCGATTTACGCAAATTCATTGAGACTTTATCATAGAGATATAAAATTATCATTTGATGGTCATCATATCCACACAATGAATGCTGCGGGAAACTTATCTAAAATTGCTGAATACATTACTGAACTTGAAGGTGCGAAGATACATCTTCAAATTAACCAAGAATACATAGAACCAGGTCCAGGATTTTGGTCAGAATTATTTAGTAGTCCCAATAGATTTAACTTTATGTACACGGGATCATATTGGGAATCGGAAAGAAGTGCACAAACATCAAGAGATACACATAATAGCGAAGTAAATGGGATAAATTTGGCTGGTCCAATGAAGAAGCCTATTAAATTTACAACAGAGTCAGGATTGGTTATCAAGAGAACAGGGCTATTATACGAAGGAATAATTAATGAGGACAGGAAGGAACAAATGATACCAGAAAATTACTTCAATGACTATAAACAAATTCTTACGGTTGATGATGACAGTAACCTTCAGTTGTCAAGATCTGATTATAGAACAGAGAATGGATTTATTAATCTAACGTCTGATGTTATTGATAATTTATTAAATGAAAGAAGCAGAAACTTTGAACAAGAAGAGATTAAAACGGATAGCGCAAGAAATATTCGTGTAAGAAGAAGAAGAAGATCAAACCAATATCTGGAATATATAGTAGAGTTCTGGTCAATTATAAAAGTTAAAGCAGTCCATATATACCCATTATTATCATTGTGTTCCAGTACCGTAATTTTAGTATGCTTTAATATCTTTTTCCCACTGTTTATCATTTACGAATATGGAACTTACTTTTCATATTCATTATCATTACCTGTGGCTGTCTTTCTTTTAGTCAAAATATCAATCTGCTTCAAAGAGTTGAAAGAAATGTGGTGTTCTTATTTATATAAGAGAAGGATTTTAAGCGAAGAAAGTCTTTCTAACATGATTAATTTTGTCGACAAGGGTTCATTATCAATCGAATTCTACAAAAAATGTAGAGATAATATAAATGCAATTGACGTGTTATTGATACCAAATTTAAGATATAAGAGAAGAAGGGCTTATGAGGTTTGTGGATTTAAAGAAGTCACATCACGTGATGAAATGAAACATCTTAAGAATCTGTTCCTTAAGACAGCAGAAGAAGAAATACCGAAAAGCACCCTAGATGGACTTTATGAAGCGTGGCTAAGGTCCTTCCGGAAATCATTAGAAACCTCAATACCCAAAGACCTGAATGATTTTATCATTTTATTAAAAGAAGAGATGCAGAAGTCATAAGCGTTTATTATATTTCTCTACAATATTTTTCAAAGAAACAAGAAAGAGAACCACTAGAGAAAAAGGATTCATTAGTGGTAGCCCTGTAACAACATAGTAGATTCCATATTCATTGCATGCATATAGTTTTATTTTTTTAATAGTAAAATTTAAACTTGATTAATACCATATAAGAAAATACCCTTTTTTAATTATTACACCCAATCTCTTAGGTTAGCTGAAATAGGTTCTGTAATGATCTAATCTTAAAGCTTGACACATTTATTTTTTCTATCCAATCAATTTCATTAATAATTTAAACATTACACCGCCTGTTCCTAGTAAATTATTCCTTAAGATTCTGTACACATGACAAATCATCGAGAACAATCGTGATTATTAACCGTAGTAGTACCATAATAATCGGAAAGAACTACGCTATAAATCCCACACCTATACAGAAATAACTACAGAGATATAAACATTTAATTCCAATAGATTATTACAACATTTGCTCTCATGGAACAACAAAGAAACACAGGGAGCAGTTCTCAACTCACACTTACTGACATGTAAAAGCAAACAATTAGTAAATCCAAAAACAACCTCTCGAACTTGTTAAATAAGCAAATATACATTCACTTTAACTGCCCAACAACCATTAAAAAGACCAAAAGTGTACATCTGGTATCGAACTGAATAAAATAGTTTGACAAATGTTCTGGCCAGACCTCCAAACAAATATATATGCAGCGACCACCATAGCTACTACTGCTGCTGCCACCAAGATCCTTACTAAGAATACACAGAAATAAACTTCTACTGAATTAAACTTTCTAATGGAGACCAGCCAGTTCTTTAGAGTCAATTGGCTATTTCTTACTAAAGCTAAATACATGAAGTCCAATATGTTTGAAACTAGCTTGCTTTATGCTACTTTCTAAGCATTTCTTTTGTCTTGATTTCTTTCTTTTTGCCCATCTGGTCTTTTTTTTCTTCGAAGAAACTTTTTAGCTGTATGCCGAACAAGGCAACAGGTGAAAAAAAAAGAGCTTCAATTGATTTCGAAGCTGCTTTTCAGTCAAAGTGGAAATGAGAAAAAAAAAACATTTTGTCAGACATTTCTGGCCTATACGAACTTCTTACTAATGATACTTACTTCAAGAATATTGAAGGGTTCATCAGCAGTCGAGGTTTCTGTTTCTTCCTCAACATCGCAAGACATTTCAAATCAAAGCCAATCCAATTCCATATGTGCGCCTTAATATCAGAAAGATTTATAGATCCCACAGTAGTTTACTAATACAACAATTAACATTTTTTTTGTCTTATTTTATTTCCACTTGTTCAAATGAGCTTCGATACGATAGAGGATATATCTTCTCTCTTGCGATCTATCCCTAGCTTTGTCTACGTACTTAGCTCACTTTGCTTTTTGTCCTGGTTGTCTGTGGTTAAAAGTTCTCGAATTCTATTATTTTACAAAGCAGATGGCAAGTTCAAAGGGAACCATTTATTTGCACATTATTTGATTTTAAACGTTGACCTAGAACCAAAGCTTTCCTTGTACATGAATAGGTCAGACAAACGTAAGAATCAATTGTAATCGAAAAAAATCTTAATTAGTTTTTTTCTGTGTGCTCCATACCTTGTGTTCATTTGTACTGGAGATAGACTATTAAAAACGTTCCAGACGTTAACGATTATTTGAAATTGATTTAATCTTGAAAAAGGGATCTGAATTTATATATAAAGGAGATATAATTTTTTAATTATTCTTCAATTTCAATTCTCTTTTCCTCTGTATTATATATTATAGTTTTTGTATAAGAACAAATCATCAAGAACAATTAACAGTTCAGATATTTAAATCTAAAAACCAACCTTTACCTTTACCCAACTAAATAAATTAAAAATGGTCGCTCAAGTTCAAAAGCCAGCTCCAACCTTCAAGAAGACTGCTGTCGTTGATGGTGTTTTCGAAGAAGTTTCTTTGGAACAATACAAAGGTAAGTACGTTGTCTTAGCTTTCATCCCATTAGCTTTCACTTTCGTTTGCCCAACTGAAATTGTTGCTTTCTCTGACGCTGTCAAGAGATTCGAAGCTTTGAACACACAAGTTTTATTCGCTTCTACCGATTCTGAATACTCTTTGTTAGCTTGGACTAACGTTGCTAGAAAAGATGGTGGTCTAGGTCCAGTCGACATCCCATTATTGGCTGACACCAACCACACCTTATCCAGAGATTACGGTGTTTTGATCGAAGAAGAAGGTATTGCTTTAAGAGGTTTATTCTTGATCGATCCAAAGGGTAACGTTAGACACATTACCATCAACGATTTACCAGTCGGTAGAAACGTTGAAGAAGCTTTAAGATTAGTCGAAGGTTTCCAATGGACCGACAAGAACGGTACCGTTTTGCCATGTAACTGGACCCCAGGTTCCGCTACTATCAAGCCAACTGTTGAAGCTTCCAAGGAATACTTCAATGAAGCTAACAAATAAGTTCAATAATACAAGAAAGCCCGTATATAAATTATGATAATACTATCACAGATTAAATTCAGAGATGGCTTTTTTTAAGTTCATTTTACAATGAAAAGGTTGGGAATATGGCATAGATTGTTAATTTCGAATGATTTTCAAACTGAATTTATTACGTCAGTGAGGTTTATCCTTTATTTTCTCTTTTTATTATTCCAGAACTTATTTTTTATAGATACAAAACATAACTCAATAACTCAAACCATTTATATATAAATATCAATTTATATTCACCTAATGCAATAAACATAATTAATTTTTATTTTTAAGCTTTATTCGTAACTAAATTTTGGTAAATAATCAACACCAGAGAATATTAAACAAATGATGTCATAGTAAGCAGAACCAAAGAATATTAAAAATTGACAAAGGAGGATAAATTACCCTACTTTTCGCAAATGCTTCACACCAAAACAAATATCAAACACAACGTGACCTCAGGAAGGATTAACTATTACTACTGTATGGCAACATAGAAAATGAGTAAAAAAAGGTATTTAATTAACGAATTAGATGTATAAATTAGGTAAATTACATGAGAATTGACAACACCAAATGCATGAGTAAAAAAGCACAGGAGAAAGGCAAAGGCAAAAGGCAAAAGACATGAGCAACGGCAAAAGAAACGCTAAACTGTACTAACAAAAGGAACACAACATTTTTATGACCGACTCCCCTTTCAAACTGTTAACATAACCCTTAATTTTGGATGAGAGGAAGAAGAAAATACGTATTTTGTGCAATCCTACCCTTTTTGCCTAAAATGGAATACAAAGACACGAAGAAAAAGAGAAACTTAAACAATACCCCAAATAGGCATTATCGCCAAATTTAGTAAACAAACAGGCATGTCCTTCCCAAAACAGCAACGCGTTGTTTCTAATAACATCATTAAAAGAGTAAACAAACTAGACTAGTTTCATTACCTTCTACGCTCCAAGGCCAAAATTTATCTCACTTCGCGTTTGAACTCAAAAGCTACACTCTACGAATCTTAATCTACGTTTAAATTTACATCACCTAATCAAGCAAAAAGGGGCACCTTTATCCGCCCCTCCCCCCTACTCGCCTTCCTTTTTGCCGTTTTTTTTTTCACCAGAAACGAAACAAAATTTTTCGGTTGGTCATCGCCAACACAAAAACTTATTATTAATGCAAAACTTAAATTTGAACACGAAATTTCAATGATTATTTATAAGAAGAAAAAAAAATCTGCCTTTTTTTTTAATCATTTCTACATGCGTTTCTTAATATCTATTTCTAGTTTTCCTTTATTTTTGGTTTTGAATTTGGTTTTCGAACTTTCGAAATTTGTAAATGGCGTCACAAACCAAAACAATATCGTGAACTGCTTGCTGCCTTTATTCTAAAGAGTACTTGTTTCTATTAATACTCAAAATGTTAATTTACGTTCGAAATCATGAGGTTTCTCTCTTTGCAATCAAGAAAATTTCATGTTGCCCACTCTTTGTTTACAAGAATTCCTCCTATCTGAACCATCTCGGACACACAAATACACATATCTCTCTTCTCTTGGCCTGATCCATTAAGACTTGTTTTGAGATTTTAATACCTCCTTCCTATTATTAACCTATTTCTTTCCTCTTGAGTTAATTAATTAATGGTTTTTTTGGTATTCAAATTGAAATTATAAAATTCAATTTACGCCAAATTAAGTATATTGTGCATCTGTAATACATAATATCTTTTTATTCTCTTCTTTTTTTTAGGTTGACTCCGCTACTCTCACTTATCTCTATCTATCTATCCTTTCTAATAGCAATATCTTCACTCTCTTCTATTTAATTCACTGTATGGTTTACCTGAGAATTAATTCTTTAATATGTGTGTGTCTGTGTGTGTAAGTATGTAGGTTTTTTGTTGTTGTTGTCGTTATTGTTATTGTTTATTTCTTTCCTCAGACGCGACTTGATCTTGAATAACTTCTAATTAAATAAATTATAATTTGGTTACTGTATTGGGTTACTCTAGTACTTTTCCTTAAGCAATTAAGTCAATCTTAATCACAAAAATTTTCTTAAATAGTAAACATCTTATTACCTGATCTATAAACCATTTGTTAACTATCATTTCACATATACACACACATACACATATGCTCATATATATATATGCCTGGATGTTTAAAATAATTATCTTTTTCCCTGGATCAGTCTCTTCATAGCACATTATATTCATAGCACAATTTCAAATCATATCTTTATTCATAAGATATATCAATTCATTGTCACCCTCATATTCATTCCTTCCTTATTTATTATTTAATATTTAATATTTAATATTTGATATCTTTCTCTCTAAAAGAAAAAGTTATCCAGAAAAGAATAAAATTAAATTAAAACTTCAAAAATTTTCAATGGCTACCCAAAGAACTTCATTACCTTCACTGTCTTCAATTTTATTCAATAGTAATACCGCTACCACTGCTGACGTTACTTCAAATGCTATTTTACAACAAGCTTTCCATCATGATAATCGCGGAATTATAAGATTACCACCTTTAAACGCTACTGGCATCAATCGTCCAAGATCTGTCGACAGTGCTTTAAGACATACTGCAAGCGATATCGAATTGGTTATTTCTCAAAGCCAACATCAACAGCAACAAGAAAACAATCAAGAATCACTATTAAACAGATCTCAATCTTGCGCTACATTACAAAACACAAACACTCCATTGAAAGATCATGTTCAGCAGCAACTTAATCAAAATAATAGTTTTGAATCACCATCAACTCCAATAGTGAAAAAGAAATCCAGTCATAAGATGAATGATATGTTAACACCATTGTCTGCTGCAAAAGCTATTATCACACCATCTACAAACGATAAGAAGAGAGCATTTGCATTCATTACCCATTCACAAGAAACTTTCCCAACAAAGGAACCTAAAATTGACAATGCTCCTTTAGCTCGTCGTAAAAGAAGAAGAACTTCAACTCAAGAATTGAATATTTTACAAAATGAGTTTGCTAAAGATGCCACTCCTGACAAGCAGAAAAGAATTTATTTAGCTGAACGCTGTAAGATGTCAGAAAAAGCAGTTCAAATCTGGTTTCAAAATAGAAGACAAGCAGAAAAGAGAAGAAAAATAGCAGCAGAAAAAGGCTACTCACACAACGATAATAGCAATGATAATAAATCAGTCGAAGGTACAACAAATGACTCAAATACTACAACTGACCTTAATTCGAAAACTCCAGAAACTGAAAAATCGATTGATAACATTCATCAATTGGATAAAACCCCAGAATTACATATCCCATTAAAGGATAATCAAGTTACTCCTTCAAAGAGTAAATTGGAAAGTAATAATCATTTAGAGTCACCAATTCCGACAAGAACCACTCCACCTCAAAAGAGAGGTCAAGCTTTAACTTTCCATTTAAGAACTGATAAAAAAATTTTAACTCCTTTGAAAACTTTACCAAATAACAGAGTAAATAAGCTTATTAATGGTGATATGAATGCAAAGGAAAATATCCCAGATTCAATCGCTTCTATGAATTGCAACTCTCCTAAGAAATCATCTTTAAAGATTAAACAAACCAATTCTATGCCATTAAAGGAAATTGAACCGAACAAAGCTTAAAACTAAAAAGTTTTAATTTCATGAATTTATATTTTACGAAGGTTTAAATTTTTATCAATCACATTCAACTCCAGCATTATAAGGACACTCATTGCATTGTAATTATATCATCAATACCAATACATATATAACGGTATAATTTGTACTATTTAGCATATGTTCTAACAAATTAACACATTTATATTCAAATCACCTACTTAAATTGCATTATTATTTAACTTGTTCAATAAAACAGTACTTAAATAATTATTGATGAATAAAAATAATATAATATAGGAATATACTTATTTATACGATAATGTCGTGAATAATATTTTATATATACATGAATGTTTATAAAGTTATGCATGAAGAGACATCTACTCAATCAGTACCATGCATCACACATAAATAGCTTAGAGCCTCAAGATCAATGAATATTTTCTGTGCCTTTAAAATATCATTGACTTCTATTAACTCCTTTGGAATAACATCAACCTTTTCGCTATGTTTTTGAGTATTCTCCATGAAATCAAATTTTGGGAAACTGGTAATGAATAATAATCTCTTTTTGCCAAGGTTATGCTCATTTAAAAATTTGTCAAAGACTAAATCAGCGCCCTCACCGGTTTCAGTTGAAGGTAATAGTTCAATTTGGTTTAAATCAGTTGGACATGATGAATCTTCTAATACCTCTTCCAAAGTTGATGAACGATAATCTTTGTTACCGATGACAATTAAATTACCTGATTGATATTGATGACTTAATGCATTGATAAAAGCTTTTGAATATAATTTTGCTGGTAAATCAGTAACATAATTATTAGGAGCTGTTCTTGCCAATGCTTGACCACCGTTGTGTCTGGTTGGAGAGTTTGCATCACCAACTCTTGCTCTACCTGTACCTTTTTGTTTATGCAATTTTCTACGGGAATAACCATTTTCACTTCTACCTGGCGGATTAGAGGCACCGACTCTTCTTCTATCATTTTCATAAACTACAGCCTGCCACAGAATATCTCTTCTAATCGGAGCATTCAAATGCGTAGATGAAACTGGAACAAAACTTACTGGTTCCAATGAAGGGAATGAACGAACAGTGGCTAGAACAAACTTACTCTCTTGTATCACCGCATTAGGAAGAAATTTCTCAGCAGAAACTGTGCCTAAGGTAGATTGAAAACGCAAACCACTATTCACCAATCTATTATGACCTAACCTAAACATTCTTTATAGTTTTTTAGCCTATTATTGTTGTATCTTCAAATATAAAAGATTGTAATAAATTCAAATTAATAGTATATTTTAACCTAATGAAGCTATCATTTACTATTCACAATCAAAAATCAACACAACCACAATTATATAGATATCAGTCCACGCCGAAATATTAACGATTAATCACTTTATGAACCTTTAGTACTCTGGATTATCTTAAATTGTTATACTTAATACTGGACTAGTCTTTAAATTTGAATCTTATTATCACTTTACTTGAAAATATTCCAAAAATTTGGCGAAAAAAAAACGAAGAAACACTACCCGGACAATTCGGATTGTTAGCGCCGTGTAGTAAAAAAACATGTCACTAAATATTCCAGAGACAGATTTATTAAAGACAACAGAAATATTTTAAACTAATCCAATACCTAGTGACTTAATCTATACTAGCTATGTGACGGTATCTCTACAATTTTATATGATAATCAAACATTTTCACGTACCTCTTCGTTTTTTTCATTTCCCCAAACAAAACAAACACATAAGGGTAATAGAGCAAACAATAAAGTTAATCTCTTCTTTAAATGATCTCTAGTATTTCTTTCCCTAGATCCTTAATTTTATTCAATTTTGTATCCAACAATTTACCTCGTTTATTAAGAGCTTCTGCTCTTTCATTTATCGCTTTTGTAATTATTTCGAATTTATAGCTCAACTGAATTCTTTGTTCAACAAGTTCACCAACATGTTGAGTATATTCATCAATCATTTTCTGTCCAAATCCTATCCATTCAGGTAGTGACCACTTTGCTGCATCACGATAGAATTCTTCTTCATTTGGTTGGAGATTCTTAAATATCTCATCCATGTGACTCTCTGCAAATTCTTCATTATCATTAAGTTCATATAGCAGTTTGTCACATATTTCGTAACCTCCAGGCGATTCACAACGTATATCTTCATATTTCAAAGTTCTTTCCTCATTATTTTCTGAGTCAGAAAATTGTTGTTTGACATTTTTATCATCAAAATTTCCAATATTATCAGTATTTGTAATTTCTTTAGATTCAATAAGCTTCTCTTCAATTTTTTTCCCAGTTTCTACACTCTCATGTCTTGCAACATATAGTTCATTGTTTTTATAATTTTTCTTCTTCAAATGTTCTTTGGGTATTTCCATTAATCCTAGCGACTCCTTCTTAATCACCAAATGATTCTCTGATCCTATATCTTTCTCTTGTGAAACTTTTAAAATTTTGTTCTGCTCCTCATTGGATCCAACAACCACATTAGGACTGAGTAGGAAATTGACATATTTTTGTTTCAACATATCCTTTTCCTTTTGTTTAGGTGACTTTTTAATATTTGAGATATCACTAAGAGCTGGGCGGTTAGGACATGATTGAGAACTTCTAATAGTCGCTGAGCTAGATTTGGAACCATTATTGTTCTGGTTGATTTCACTTGAAAGTAACTTGAACTCGTCTATAGTATTGGGTTCTGGCTTAATTATTGTCATAACGTTATACTCCTTCTTCTTCTCACAATGTTAAAGATTTTTTAAGTATTCTGTTTCCAATAGATTTAATAAATTGTTTCAAAACTTCAAATTTCTCGCCGCTTAAATATTTTGGAAAATTAAGGTTCAGAAAAAAAAAATAGTTCATTAACATTAATAATTATCTACTATAATACTAAATTATAAAATAATCATATGTACATAAAGATAATTAATCAGAGAAGTGAAAGGAATAAATATTAAACATTAAAAAACACAGATATAACTTTAGTAAAAAAAAAGGAATTGATTTAACTGGCAATATGATTCATCTTTTTGTACTATTATTACTATTACTATTATCATTATACTATTACAAGTACTAAAAAATTTGAAACTTTTTTGGTTTTGGTATCTGCAATCTTTAAAATCGTAAAAAAAAAATTGATGCAAAAAAACATTGCATCATTGGAATCTATTCACAGTGACTGTTGCTTATGAATTTTAGCTATTCGTTAACAAGTAACAATAATGAATTCATTAATATGGTTCGTAAATTTTCATTTATTGTCAAAATAATGACAATTGACTTCGAGAGAGACTTATATGAGGGAAAATATAAAAGATAGACTCAATTGATGGAACTAAGTAAACAATATGACACTTTTCACTAATCCATAGCCGCATATTTCTTACAAGCTTCTTCCCCGAAATGTTCATTCACTAAATGGGTTATCGCAACGGCACCAAATAAATTAACAAATCTTCTCCTAACGACGATATTGTTATGAGAATCTGGCTTAATATCAACCAATACCTTTCTCCAGGACATGGATTCTTGCCATGCTCTGGCGATTCTCTCTTGGACTCTGTTAATTCTTTCATTTGGATACATAACTTTTTTCAAAATAGGCCTATCGGTATAATGTGGAGGTGGTAATTCCTTTGGATGATATATTTTATCATGGACAATTGCGTCTGTCCTTACTGCTGGATTCTTAATATACTCTTGTGTAGGATCTGGTGCTGTCAATACAGATAATGCAGATAATGTGGTAGACGCTTCTGGAGGAGGACTAAATTTCTCCTCAATACCACCTGCTTCATCTCCAATAGTTTGAGTCCTTTTATATTGCTTTAATCTAGAATTATGAATTAATGCTTGTGGCATCATCCATTGCAATGCTGCTTTTTTATCTTGTTTTTCAACTGGGATCTCACCAGTGACACTGGTTTGTCGACTTAAAGCATTTAAATCTTCTTCAGAATCTTCAGATGATGGGTCTGAACTAATCTCTAAAGAACCAACTGCTGCTGTCACTGAATTTGTAGATGCTTGAGAAGATGGATTAATATTTGGATTGGATGATTTTTCTAATCTTCTTCTTAATTTTCTAACTTTGGCTAAACTATGCCAGTCCAAGTATAACAAGGCTGCGGTACGCAAAGGAACAATACCGTCGTGAAGAACGTTTGCATATAGAGTTCTGTGAACAAATCTCTCAAAGATTGGTTTTGCAGGTTCCTGAGGAATGACTTCTAATAATAATTTCAATCTACTTCTATTTTTTGCCAAAGTAGTGTGGTTATTAAATGCCAAACCTTCCTTTGAAGTTAGAGGAGTATGCTTTAGAGTCAAATCACGACCAGTTATTCCCAGAGCACCTAAATCCAATGCTAAAGTTACATATTTTGGGAAGTCTACAGTGACACCGATATAAGGACTTGCCAAAGTAATGAAATTAACCGGTTTTATACCATTTGGGCCGAAAAAATCTGGTTCCATTACAGATAGGTAGTGAATTGCCATGGATTGAGTGGGCCCACCTAAGGAGTGTCCGATAAAAGAGATTTTATCAACTTTATATTCCTGATTCAACTCATCTACCGTTTTCAGAATGTATTTAGCGACATTAACACCCAGATAATGAACCCCATACGCTGATTTACCCATATTATCCATACAACCTCTCACGACTACATTTGGATTTATCTCTTCAGGTATGCCGTCAGTAGTCTGTTCAATACAATCTTTAATATATAACATATCACAACCAATATTTGAAAAAATACCATGGGTTACAATAACCAAATGCACTGGTTTTTTTGGATATTTTGGTGGAAGGTTCCATAAACTATTAGTATTCCATTTATCGATATCCAAACCATCCAAATGTTTCAATTTTCTTTTATCTCTCATTGGGAATTTTCTTACGGTACTTAGGGACATACTAAATTCTAATTTTGGGATTGCGGTGACTGCGACTTGGGAGATAATATCTAAAGTCCAAGAATAACAATTAGTATCATCAACTTTTGAATTTTTATTCATAACCAAATAACCAATGAAGGAATCATCTGGTTTCAAATCACTACAAAATTGAATATCTTCCTTTTCATCATATACTTCATTTTCATGGTAGTTATGAGGTCTAATATCCAAGTAGAAAGCGTATGGGCCTGTTAGATAGACAGGTTTCAATAGAGGACTTTCTCTATTTTTAATCTTTACGAATAATTCGTCGATGAATATACCTTGTTCTATTAATTTATCTTTATCTATTGTAATTTTATATCTCACTAGATCACCGATGCCCAAGCTTCCGACTTCATGAGCTAGTAGATAATCTGGTATGACATGACTAACATTGCTAGTATCGCTACTACTATTGTTAGTCAATCTTTTTTTGTCAGACATTTTTATACCACAGGGGCAGCACAGAGATAAGAAGTTCCACAACTTTTTAGAATAAATTAAACAATGAAGAGTTCGACAGCTCCCGACAACACAGACTAAAAACCGTAGTTCAATAATGAATTGAATTTTATAAGCAAGCAACCGATGCAATTACGATCACGATCACCAACCTCTATATTAGTGGAAGTAAATTTCTTTTGCCTTTTGAACACACCAACTTTTCTCAGTATATGTATATATATATATATATATATGGGGGGAGAGAGACAGTATAATATTTTTCTTTGAGAGGGAAAAAGGTAATAAAATAATTCAATCACAAAGATAATAACGAAATCTAAACAGAGTGTGCAGTTTAGTTTTTGTATAATCAATCAATCAATCAATCAATCAATTAATAACGGAAGTCGAGTAGATTAGATTAGATGTGATTACAATAGAAGCCAAAACAAAAAACCTAAAAACCAAAAAAATCGAGTTCACCACAAAGTAGTCTAGCGATGGCAACAAGAAACAAATAAGTATAGTGTGAATCCGACCAGTATATATATATATATATAAATGTATGTATGTATGATTGCTAAACAGCGAGTATGAGAATATGGAATATAGAGTTGAAATATAATTGATGCAAGTATGGGTATGGGTATGGGTATGGGTATGGGTACAAGTGTCTATATTATTTCAGTCAGATCAAACCAGCGTTAAGAGTTTTAGCGATGTGTGGTAATATTTTTTTTTCTGGTTGGGTTGGGTTGGGTGACTGGATTGGGTTGAGTGAATGGATTGTGAATTTTTACGGCTCATCCATTTTTGCTACAGAGCGCAGTGGGTCCGGCATGAGGAGGACAGCGCTAGCAGACGGGAGAGCACCACTGCCACTGCCACTGCCAGAGCCAGAGCCAGAGACAGCAAGATGCAAGATTTAAAACACCCCGTCTCTGCCCCTTGGCGATAAGAACCAAATCGAGGGAAGAAAGGGAGAGACGGGAGAGAGTGCGAGTGTTTTTTTTGGGTTGTGTTTGGCCCACGGAAGGGAAGGGGAGAGTGAAGGGGGAATATTACAGACAGGGGCAGGTGCATACTGACTTTGGGACGGTTTTGTCGTTTTTGTTTTTGTTTTTGTTTTTGTCGTTCTTTCGGGTGGAAGAACTTTCGGATGGAAGACAACGAGAGACAGCTTCGGTTCCGGATTAGGATTCGGATTAGGAAGGGTAATCTGATCTGAAGAACACATCTACATACACGTGACTCGGCTCTCGTCGTACTTTTTGTTTGCCGCCGTCGCAGTCGGAATTCCAGGGAAGGGGAGGGCAAAAATTGTGTGACACAAATATAAGAAAACTATAAAAGGAGAACAATCTGTCGTCCGAGATGCACGTTCATGTACAACTCTGTGTGGTTCAAATAAATCCACTCTCTTCTTTCATTTATGTTTGTTCTATTCCTCAGGAATAGAACAAACAAACCACACTGATATCCACTACAACTATACACGTTTCTATCAAAATTAACTAATTACTTCACTGTATAAATACTCACTCACTCTTGTAGACTTGTATTTTTTTTGGCAGTTTAGCTTACCCGACCTGTACTCCGCTCTCTCTCCATCCCGCTCTCCCTCCGTACTCTGGACTTGGACTGCCCGGAAATTTTGGATCAAAATTTATTCGAAATTAAGAAATACTAACAATATAATATCATATATAATATAATATAGAATAACTTAATAAACCTCTACTGTACTGTATACACACATCACATTGGGTTTTCTTACTCTCCTGATCAAACAACCTTTTTGTACATTCACATTCACATTTACATTCACACTTTTAACGTAATATATCATTATCCACCACTATTAAATGTCGTTTAATATAAAATTACAATCAAAATGAATGAATTAGAAAACTGTACTTACAATTTGGAAAATGTACTCCTCAGTTTCTACAAAATCGCAAACGTACAAAAAATTAACTACAATCAATACAATTCAAAAAAAAATGACGAACAATGGGCTATACATACTGAATTACTATTAAGAAAAAAAAATCCATCCTCTTTAGTCGCTTCCCTCTCAAAGGAATTATGGTGTTTTAGTTTGAACGATGACCAAATCCCAGATATACCAAAAAATAATAACTCAAATGAAATTATACATCCAGATAAATCAGGAAACTTCAATTCAAATTATTCAAAACCAAACTTACCCCCTCACTACGCAATCTTCCTAAAGGCTCTAAGAAGAATGATCTATATCAACCTAACAAAATCTTCAATCAATAAATTGTACCCATTCGGTAACGGTTCAATCTTTATGGATTCAAAAAATTCAACTTGCATCTTCCAAGTAGAACCACATCTATTCGAAAATGGCGACTTGACCATTTCATTATCGTTGAAAAATTTAAACATCGTTCAATTGAACTTAAACAACTTAGATGATTCCTTTTTGAAAAATAATGCAATCTATCTACTACCCTTAGGTACAAGAGCTTATTTACCTTCTTCAAATATTTCTGCATGTATAGCACAACCTCCGGAAAATTCAGATGCTTTGCTAAACACTTTACTCATTTCTCATGGTATTGATTTAATCTCAAAAAAAAATTTACAATGGGTGAAATTAATCCCACATCTAGGTCACTTTAATGGCCATATCCCTCGTATTTCCTCCTACATAGACACACCAAAGGATTCAAGATCCGTAATATGGCCAATCGACTTAATCTTTGTACAGCCCGCATTACAAGTAGACAAGAAAAAACCATCTTCACCAAAACGAGATATAGACGATTTAAACTTTAATTTAGATGACGCTTTGGATATCGTAGATAACTTCATACAATTAAGACAATCTTCTGCATACAGAACTCCAGGAAGTTCAGGCATCCTGACGGGAACAAACCCATTGAGTTCAGGAGGCGCCTATACAGACCAATTCCAGAATTTTCAAAGAAATATGGCCATCTCTTCAAATGGTAGCACACAAAGTTATAAACAAAAGATAACACCTTCAGATTCAAATATAAACTATACAATGGAAAAGAGAAACGCAAATTCAGTAGAACAGTTCGGAATGAGTGAACTCATAACTTCGGATTTAGATCATTTGAACGATAAAAGAAACTATAACCCTGATCTATTGGGTAGCCCATTGAAAAGCGAATCAAATAGAAGAATCTTAAACTTTGACAACCAAATAAGATCAACCGAAAGAACCCCTAACTTATCAAAAGAATCTTCTCAGTTGGAAAATGAATCTAACAATTCGGCAGCTGATAAAGAATTATTTGGAGAGGAAGAAGAAGAACAAGAGGTAGTAGCAGGTGCAGAGGAGGAGGAGGACGGAGAAGAAGTAGAGGAAGAAGAAGAAGAAGAAGAAGAAGATTTGTTCGGCGAAAGTAATAACTCTTCAGAAGAAAAATCAAGAAACAAAAGAGAATCATCAGATGAAATCACAGAAGATATGTTTGGACTGTCAGATGATGAAGATGCAACGAAAAGCAATACAAATTTATCAGATCAAAATTTTTTCAGACATTCTGAGAACGAGAATATTATAAATGTTGCAAAACCTAACAATAAAAGAAAATATCTCGATATTCCATTAGATGAGATCACTTTATCCAATACTCCCCTTTATACAGATCCAGGTGCACCATTGCCTGTCGAAACTCCAAGAGATAGACGTAAAAGTGTATTTGCTCCTTTAAATTTCAATCCAATCATTGAACATACTGTGGATAACAAGTATAAAAATGGTGGTAAATTCTCTTTTAGTCCGTCTCACAATGAAGAAGCTTTAAATTTCGATATTTCAAAGAATGGATTATCTACTTCAGAAGATGATGACAGTGACTTCAGCGACGACCTTGAAGGCCTAGAGGTTAAACCAATAGAAAGGGGAACAGACAACAATGGAACAGATTCACAATTCTTGGAACAAAATTCTTTACAAGTTTTATCAGAGCCTTTGCCTCCTAGTCTCTTACGTGGTGAATTACTTTCAGGAAATGATAACAATAATATTGATGTAATGAAAGAGAACTTGAACTCTATATGGAAGATAAACCAAAATGGTATGAATACAAATGATTCACCAATTCGTGCAATAGAGGCCTCCTATGGTCCAATGGATGTCGATTCGAAGTCATCATCAGATATATTTCCTAAAATGCCAATTACAAGGGACCAACCGTTATCCGCAAATAGAAGTCCCGATTTGGCTCATGTTGATATTATTGAGACAAATTTTGAACCAAAGGGAACTGAACTACAACCAGCAAACTTCGAGTTTTCTTCAAATCCTTTATCAAGTCTTCCCTTTTTATTACGTCATATGCCTTTATCCACTATTCCAGAGGTATTTTTATCTTCCACTCCATCTCTTACAATTTCAGATGATAATCAACGTGTCCTGAATCTGCTATCCGAACAGCTAGTTTATGATTTTGATACCCTACAAGGATTAAATATTCCTTCAAGAAGCTACAAAGGGATCACATCGTGCACAAATGGATTAATTACTAATGTAATAAGTAATTTGTTTCCAAATTTTGATAGAATCAATGGCAGTGATATAATCTCCCAATTTTACCCAATGAGAGAACCATACGTATACGTTAAGAAGCATCATGATATCATAAAGATAAGAGCAGATTCACAACCTTTCAGCAAATATTTAAATCTAAAACCTTCTAAGGGCATCAAAAATTTCAGGTTTTTGTTAATAACTACTTCAAGTAAAGAAAATTGTTCTACATTTGTATCCACCTTATGTCAAACATATATCGGATATGAATTTGGATTTTGTGAATTATTAAAACTTAATAATGAAGATACTCAAGGTATGATCTATTTACAAGATTATGAAGATAACAAGCTATTACTTTTGGCTGCCCAGATTGTGTCATATTGTTCAACAAATAAAAGCTCCGGTAAGGAAGTACCGTTATTGTTGGTTTTACCACTGAAAACTAATAGATTATCTGATTTAGTTGAGATGACTTCAAAGTTCGAGATTATAAATAATGAGGTAAAATCTAAAATTCCAAATGCTCAAATTTTCTTCAAAGCTATTCTAATGGATTTCATCAACAATCCGCTAGTATCAATCGACGAATATTTTAATCAATGTGTTAGTATCTATAACATTTTACCCCAGAAATCAATAAAATTTGCATCGATAGCGCCTAAACACCCAGAGAAGATAAAATTCCGTACTCTTCAATCCAGTGGAGGTCCATCAGTTATCCATTATGATTCATATATCCATTTAGCATATTCTAGAAGTCTTGATAAACAGTGGGTATTCGCCGCCTTCTCAGATAGTAACGGTAATGATAATTTAACAAGAGCTTGGTATGTTGGATCATCTAAAAATAAGTTTGATGAAACATGTAATGAAATATGGTATATTGCATTAAAATTGGCATCTAAGAAATATGGTAAAATTTGTTTGATATTAACAAGATTAAACAGCGTATTACCTGATGATGAATTGATGAACTGGAGAAGGCTATCGGGAAGAAATGTCCATTTGGCAGTTGTGTGTGTTGATGATACTGAAAAGATATCGTTTTATGATCAAGATGAGAATTACCCATCATTCAAGAAATTTTTCAAAAATGAAAACTATACAAATGCATTACAAAAAGAGGACCTAGAAGAATATGAAATTAGAGATATTGATTATGAAGTACATGGAATTATCTTCAAAAGTCCTTTCCCATTATCTAATTCTCAACATAGATGTGCAATTAAAAGCGGTGCATTAATGAAATTCCATGAAGCTGCAGGCGAAGCTCTTTGGGACAAATTTGAAGTCAATCTATTAAATTGCCCGCATTCCGACAGTACCCAATTATTAAAGACAATTTTAGAAGAATACAGAAATTTAGCTGCATTAAGCACATGGTTTGGTGTCTCAAATGGAGATTCAGCCCAAATCCCATGGCATGTATTAGCAGTTAAAAAAATGATGAAATGTTTAGTACATCTACAAGTATCAAACAAATAACCATAAACTTAGCATATTTATATACATTTAAAAGTAGATACATCTCCAATCAATAATAAATGATACCATTAACAAAAAATAAAACCGTTGATCTCAGTTAGGAAACTAGTATCAGATCCCACCATTAATAGTAGAGCTAGTTCGTTAACCTTAAACCTGAACGACAAGCACACAGACTGTCTGAGTGAGATCTTTTTATTTTTATATTCGTTTCTTTTTCCCATTTTTTGCACATTCCCTTTGGAATGGGAACTTTTTTGTTTCTTTTTATTTTTTTTTCACAAATCTCATCTCATCGCCAAATTTTCGAAATCGAAAATTTGAGCTTTTGTCAAAATATCTCGATGATATATTATCAATTTGCTAGCTTTAGGCATTACCAACAGGATTCAAATCTATATAATATCTTATATTTGAGGTCATTCTTATTTATTTTTGGTAAAATAGTTTATTCGAGAAAATAGGACTCAATAATACCAAACCGACCGCAAGATAACAACAAAAATGTCCATTACTTCTTACGCTGCTGATTTGAAAGCTGCTTTAAAGCAATATCCAAACTTCCCAAGTGAAGGTATCTTATTTGAAGATTTCCTACCAATTTTCACAGACGCTAAGACTTTTCAAAAATTGATTGATGCTTTCAAGTTACATTTGGCTGAAGCCTTCCCAAATGTTAAGATTGACTATATCATTGGTTTAGAATCTAGAGGTTTCTTGTTTGGTCCATCTTTGGCTTTAGCCTTAGGAGTTGGTTTTGTCCCAGTTAGAAAAGCTGGTAAATTACCAGGTGATTGTGTCCAAGCTACTTACCAAAAGGAATACGGTAGTGATGTTTTTGAAATGCAAAAAAATGCCATTCCAGCTGGTTCCAACGTTATCATTGTTGATGACATCATTGCTACTGGTGGTTCTGCTAAAGCTGCTGGTGAATTGGTAGAAAAAATTGGTGCTAAAGTATTAGAATTTAACTTTGTTATGGAGTTAGATTTCTTAAAAGGTAGAGATAAATTACAAGCTCCAACCTTTACTTTATTAAGTGGTCAAGAAGAATCCTTGAAAAACTAATTGATTGATAATTGTGGCTTTAGATGTTAGACTCAATTTCTAAAGTTGCTAAATTAATTTTGTTTTTACCTCTCTCTTGGCTTTTTTTTTTAAAATATGGGGCTATTATTTTATGGTTTGTACTATAGATGTTTATTATACACATATATTTTCTTATATAAACTTTTGTATTTTAAAAAAGAAATTGTAATCTAATATCATAACGATGTAGACTTAATTCTTCTTTAACTCTATACTTTATTCTCTGCAAATTTGAATATTATTGCCCATATAAAGACAATATACCCCATATTAATAATTGCACTTTATGATTATGTAATATTACAATGTTATTTGAAACCTTCTTTTATTATAACTATTATTATCACTTTTAAAGTAACTTAAAGTAGACTAGGTTCTTCATCATGATAATTTTAAGCCATTAATATCATCATCATCATCATCATCATTATTATTATCACCATCGCTATCATCATCAGACTGGTTTATATAGGTATGCAATCTTTATCGTGTATATTTTAATCTTTCATTCCTTCTATGTCCAGCATTTGATGTAAATAATGAATCGTCAACATCAGATAAAACAGTCGAGATATAAAACTCACCTCCTCTATGAGTCCAGGAGACACTATTCTCTTTCAATTTGTGCTTTTTAACACTTAGCCTATTCAATATATTTTCAATATCATCGAAATCAATTGTATATGTTAATGGTCTCAAACTTTTCAATGATATAATTTTACAACCAGATTTACAATTTTGTATTATTTTTTCAACTTCAAGATTCAATTTAGAATCAAATAAGAAGTTATTCACCAATAATACATCACACTTTTTTATCAATTCATCAACACGTTTATTATCAACAAAACTTTCTCGCAAAGAGTATTCTACTGGACTCAATCTAATACCAAATAATCTAGCTCTTTGTTGAAGTTCTGCAAATTGTGCTTCGGTTAAATCAGAAGCATTCTCCATAATTTCACACCCAAAACTTAGTCCACATCCATATTCCAATGCAGCCTGAACAACACAATTCCCAACACCAGATCCCAGATCCATAAAGACATCGCCTTCTTTTAATGAACATTCTGAGTATACTTCTGATAGAAACGAAGGTAATAATTCACCGTAGACAAAACTGCTAAATGCTGCATATTGACGTAGCTTATTGGCTTTTGGATGAATAGTTCTTGTGTAAATTATATGCAGGAAATCATGAATAAAGTTCTTTGGAATTGATTTTGTATTGTTTAATTTTTCTATCATTAAATCTCTTGGTATTTTCTCAATAATGTCATTATATCTGTTTACAGTATTTATAAACCCTAGTTCATCAGAATTATCAAATGTTTCATTTAGAGGTTTTATCACTTCAGTTTCAAGTTGTTTTAAAAATTGATCCGGAATATAGATTTCAGTACAATACTCTATTATTTTACCAATTTCTGACATTGGGTTGTATATTGTGGAAAACGATTCATTGCTAAAGTCAATGTGATATTCTTCTTCATAATTTAAAAACAATGGATATTTCAGTTTTACAAATTTTGGGATTATATTATCACCCTTTGATTTATAATACTTTTCAGTTATAGATATTGATTGAGTTATATTACCTTTAAATCTATCATTTGATTTCAAATAATCTATGTCAAAAAATTTGTATTTAAATTCAAAAAAGGGTGATGTTAAATCTGCAAAACTTGAAGGAGTTACTGGAACATCGTTTATTACTTTATTTTCGTTATCATTATTGGTATTCTCAGAATCATTTGGACTATCTCCATTAACAGAATTATTTAGCAATGCAGGTTCAGGTGATTTCTTATTTTTTTTAGTGTACTTTGCCTTTGATGAAGTTGCATTTGATTCCAACTTCGATACAGGCTTTGAGTCTGCTGTTGATTTTGATTTTGACTTTGATTTTAATTCTGCTTTTGTTTTAAGTTTTGTTTTCAGATTTGTTTTTAGCTTTGACTCTGACTTTGACTTTGAATTTGACTTTACAGTTTTTTCAATGGAAGTGACTTTACCATTTTTTTTATCTTTGCCATTGGGTTTTTTCTTCAAACCATCAATGCTCTTACCAGAATTTAAAATCGACTTACTTTTCACGCCATTGGAAAGCATGCTCTTTTTCTGGTTTATTTTGACTACCTTTTTGTCAGTAGGTCCATCACCTTCATCATCACTCGAATCAACAAACCTCTTGGGAGGCTTTCTCTGTCTTAAAAACCCACCTGGTAAAGTATAATCAGAATGAGCAGAGTATCTATAAGCATCTTCTAACAATGACTGAACGCCACTGCTACCTTTAGATACCTTATGAATTCCCTCAACTCTTGAGTCTGAAATCTCTACCGATGTCTCCACAGAAACAGAACCTGAATTATTAGAAAAGACTGACGAATCCATAATTAATCACTTTTTGTTATCTTAAATTATTCTACACTGGAACCAAAAATAAAAAAGAATAATAATCTGTCTCTTGTCTCTCCACCCAAACCATAAAAACTTCACCGCAAATTAAATATAAAAATTATCACCCTCCCACAAAAGCCAAATAGAATCCTCTAATTCATTCAAAAGTCTAAAACCTCTCGATCTTGATTCACAATCATCATCATCATCTTGAATTAAAAACTAAACCTTTCTTTCAATACATTTCGTTTGTAATTCTCTCTCTTCTTTTATAACTTCAGTTGCAATTTTTACTTTTAATTGTACCATAGAAAAAAAAAAGAAAAAAAGAAAAACAACGTCTATAAAACACCGTAGCAATTGGTAACTGACGCGTAAAACAAAATTAATTTCAAGTTCACGTGTCACCTCATCGCAAGATTATGGTCGAATTACAATTGAATTTAAGGTTATTGATCTGATATATATGTGTATATGTATATAATTGTAATTGTAATTGCAATTGTAAATGTAATTGTTTATTAATTATTTAAAAGTTTTCTTTTATTCACAATTTGCCGTTCAATTCTTGAACTTCCTTAATTGTCTTGCCTGGTACAACACTCCAATCGATCATCTTCTCTTTTCTTTCGTTATATAACCATTCATTTATCTTTCTAAAATGATTGTTTCCAAAAAACCCCCTACTCGCACTTAATGGTGACGGATGAACAGATTTAAATACTTTGATATTGTCTCCAAGGTTGGTTTCCTTTCCTAATATCGATTCAACCAAATTGATGGCATTGTTACCCCATAGTAAAAAAACTAAACTTGTATTTTTATCCTCTCTATCTTTGATTAGGTTTTCAACGACCTTCTTTGTGAATTGTTCCCAACCTTTCTTCGAATGTGAATTTGCATTGTGCGCTCTTACTGTTAACGATGTATTTAAAAGTAATACTCCTTGTATAGCCCATGGTGTTAAATCACCAGTGCTATTATCGATCACAAAGTCACCATAATTCTGTTTTAATTCTTTATAAATGTTTTTCAACGATGGTGGTGCTGGAGTTGGTGATTTCACAGAAAATGCTAGCCCATGAGCTTGATTAAAATTGTGATACGGATCTTGTCCTATTATCACTACTTTCACCTTATCAAAGGGTGTCAACCTACTCCATGAATATATGTCTTTTGGGATTGGAAACACTGTCTGACTCTTTTGTTCAGAAGTTACAAATTGTTTCAATTTAACAAAATACGGTTTCTTGAATTCTTCTTCCAACTCAACAAACCACGAATCTTCAATCGTCTCCAGCTCTAAGCTCAATAAAGAGTCCAACATAGAGCTCAACGACTCACGAAATTCTAGTTTACTCTTGATAACAACTTTTGTATCGGCCATCTTGTCATCTCCATTGTTAGCATCTTTTGAAGCAACAGTTTTGACTCTTTTGCTCACATTGCTATTGTCGGAATTCGATTTCTTACTAAAGAAATCTTCAATAGTAACCCTTCTCTTCTTCTCTGAAACTGTCATATACCCTATTAAAAACGATTGTAGTCTCCTTCAACCTTCCCACTCACTCTTATACTTCTATAACACCAAAACCTTTGCTTCTTTTACCAATCTTACTTAAATAACGTTATGGAAGTACTCAAAATTTCAGGAAACTTATTATATAATGATGTTAAATTAAAAGCTGATTTAATGGTCGTGAACAAATTTTGGAAATCATGAATAAAAATGTTTTAAAAAATCAACAGTGAACAGTTCATTACAGATCAAATCAATCTAGACAAGAATTCTGGTGTCATATGTATATTGGTATTTGTTATTAGTTACTTTATTGCCAACATTACTTTCCCTTTTTATTTTTTGGAGTATTTCAAAATTAAGCTCTTAAACGGTAGGTAGGCTTCATTGGTCTTAATAATTATATATATAAAGGAATCCTTTGATATCAATTCGATTTGTTCATACAATAGGCCTCTTGTTAAAAAAGGATATTCTAACAAGATTAAATATACCCATTGATATTTAAATATAATTGGGCCTTGAGTATGGCCTCTTTGAAGAGCAATGATAAACTTTCTGTGGGCTCAATACAAAGAGTGTTGAGCTCAACTTCAAATAGTTCAAATGGTGTTGTACGTCCTGAATCAAATGGCAGTACAAATTCAACTGATAAACACAGTTTCAAGAAGTCAAATACTAGAACTTGGTCACTATGGGGGTCTTCTGAGGTTGCTACTAGTACAATTCCAGTTGATAATAATGACAATAGTCAAAAGACAAACTCCGATGTTACTGCAACTTTAGTAAAGGATAATGTACAATCAACTACAGAAAAGGATGATACCAGTACTGGAACAAACAATAGTAACACTACGACAAGTAAAAAATCATCTTCTGTACCATCTTCTCCAAGTCTTCAAGTAACTACTCAGGATACTAGATCAAGAGGTTGGTCCTTTTTAAGTAGAGGTTCAAATAGTAATCAGAATACAACTGTAAATTCTAAAAAGGTATTACCAATTACAAATTTAGTCAAACCTTTATCCAACACTATCATCTATGATGATCAATTAGATAACTCTTCAGAATTACAAAGAAATAATACCCCTATTAGTGATACAGAGACTAAATCATTAGATGAAAGTTTAATAAATCCCAATATTGTAGTACCCAGTTTTGATGTATTGCCAAAGGTAACGACATGGTCTACTGTCTCAACATCTATTTCAAAAATTGCAACAAATTTAAATCTAATTGCGAAAAGACCAAGAGAAAAATTCTTATACAATCAAGGCCCTCATAAAAAATTGTTCGAACTATCTAATAAAGGAACTAAACCAATAAAAGTATTAATCATAGGCGTCCATGGTTTCTTCCCAACTAGAATGATTAGACCATTTATTGGTGAACCAACAGGAACTTCAGCAAAATTCATAACAGAAGCTGAAAAAATTGTAAGGAGTTATTTTAGTAAATACAATACACCTATTGAAATAAATAAAATTGCCTTGGAACGTGAAGGTAAAGTTTTAGAAAGAGTAAACTTCTTTTATGACACTTTGGAAAATAATATCAATGAAATAAATAGTGCAGATTTCATCTATTTTGTAGCACATTCACAAGGTTGCCCTGTAACAATTATCTTATTAGGAAGATTAATCGACACAGGTATTATACGTCCAAACACATCATATTTCGATAGCAATGATGAATTACCATATTCTTCAGGTAAAAAAGTTATTTCTGTTTTAGCAATGGCAGGTGTCAATAATGGTCCATTTTATGGCGCCGACCAAACTCTTTTCGTTCGTGCATATTCAACAATCGAAAGTGACTCCTTAAAAGAATTATTTGAATTCCAAAAATTTGATTCAACCCTATCTAGGATGTATATCCAAAATCTAAAAACGATAATTCGGAGAAATGTAAAGATCACTTTTGTTGGATCAATTAATGACCAACTAGTCCCATTATATTCATCAATATGTTTATTTGCTCATCATCCAAATATTTTTAGGGCAACATTTATTGACAGAGATTCAAGAACTCCAAAATTTATAACTAGAATTGTTGATATCGCTGGCAAACTAATAGATCTAGGCCATGATGATCACGGAATAATTAAAGAAATCAGTTCATCATTGGCGGGCCCATTGACTGGCGGTGGACATTCGACAGTATACAACGAAGCTCAAGTCTACGAATTAGGAATAAAATTTGCATTAGAAACGTCTGATATCCCAGAAGAGACTCCAGTAGGATACAGACCATATAAATTGTCACAACTAGGTAACAATCCTTATAACCTACCATGGTGTATGCGTGGCTTGATATACGAAACAAATAAATATTTAGACAGAGGAGAAATTGATTTGTTAATTAAGGAATTTGAAGAATGGGAACCAAATACAAAAGTACTAAAAGATGTAAAATATAGGTTAAATGGTCTAAAATCAAAATTATGAAATCCAAAAACCCCAAACACTTATTATTACGATATGTAAATATATTCACCAGCTTAAAAGTTAACTTTAAAAGGAAGCTGGTCTTTCAAGAATACAATAATGTATTTGATTCATCTATATTATGTATTAAAATGTATTTTAATTAAATATTTAATTTATGCCAATTGTATATTTATATATATATACATATATGTATATTATTAACTCATTTCAAATAATATTCCCAGGAATGCTTATTCAAATTTGAACAAGGATGTATGCACTATTTCGAATCTATTGCAAACTATCATCACTATCTAAATTTTGTATTCTTTTCCGAGCTAATTTACGTTTTTTATAGTGTTCATTCCTATCACTTGTTTCTGTATGCGATGAAGATAATCTTGGAGTCGGTGATGTATTTCCATCTGAAAGAGCATCACTAGGTAACACTAAATTTGCCAGTTTTTCCACATTTTTAACAGGATTTGCCAACAAGACTCCATCAACACCATCATCTTTTGAGTTATCTGTATCATCTTGATAACTTTCATCAAATATTGTATGTTTTCCTGTACTAATCACATAACGTAACCCACTAAGTTGATTTTTATCAGTATTTCTACCTGTTCCACGTAACAATCTTTCATTCATAGGTGATAACAATTGAAACCCAATTTTCTTACTTACCATTGTCGAAATTCTCGAAGAATGTTGCAATTCTTCTTTGTTGATATCTATAGTATTTTGTTCGCCGTTATTTTGATCATCAGTATTATTATTATTTCTTAAATCATTCTTCAAATTTTCTATAATCTTTTTAGAACTCTTCAATTTTGATTCCATTAAAGCTCTATGCGTCTTTTGCATCTCTTTTAGTTGTTCATTCTCATGTCGTAAAACTTGCAAATCCGTATTCAATTGAGTTATTTGTCTTTGTAACATTAAAGTATCACTTCCACTTGATTTTGTCAAAGTAGACCCATCATTAGAAGATTGTTGCCTTTCTTCTTTCCCTATTACATTTTCATAATAGATTCTTTCGCCCTCTATAACAGATTTATAGTAATTTGCCAATAATTGTAATGTAGTACTCATCCTGCAATTATAGCTATGCTTCTATTTTTTCCAGTATACTAAATTAACATACAAATAGAACATAAACCTCCAACTAATACCCACATAAATATACCAATAAGCCTACATTCATAAATATATTTATAACGAGTAGATCATTAAATCATCCTTCATTCTTTGATTTATTCAATTTTTAAAGGTTCCATTCCGGATATATTAAAAATTATTAGAGCTTTTTTAAAAATATCAAACAAATCTAATGCAAATTGAACAGACAAATTGGGTAAATTATCAGGTTGATTAGTGGTCGAACTAACCTAGAGGATAGGACATAGGTTAATTGAAGTTTGTTATTTGATAATATATTATTGCTGCACTTGAGTGTCAGGATTCAATTGAGGTTCTGACTGTCTAGTTCGTTACGTTCCCTTTAAATATATATATTATTATTATTAGAAAAAAGAAAACAAATACATTTTGAATTCAAGAATGAATGTCAATTTACTAGTTTGGTTCTTAGTGTCAATTACATCTCAATTGGTATGTTGTTTGATAGATGATGTAAAACCTTTATTAAGTTTAAGAGATAGGGATAGAATCATTGAAGTCACAGATGAAAATTATGAATCCTTAATGGGTGGTGTTAAAGGTTACTCCACTGTATTGTATATTACCATGAGAGGTGAATTAAATGGTAAGGCTTGCGATATGTGTAATGAATTTGAAGAAACTCTTCGTCAAGCAAGTAACCAAATATATTATCAATATCCTGATTTAAATGTGTTGTTTTATATTGCTGATGTGGGGGTTAATAAAAAACTAGCACAAGATTTAAAATTAAAATTTATTCCTCATTTACTAGTTTATCCTCCTGCTACAGACAATTCTTTCAAATGGTCAACCTCACAATTTTATCAATATGAGTTAACTGAACGTGTAGTCAAAGAATTGATGGCATTGGCAAATTTCTTAGGCAAAACTTTAAACATTCTAATTAAAATCAATGAACCATTTAAATATGATGAATTTATATTTTATTTTGGTACTTCAATGCTAGTATTTATTATATTGAAAAAAATTATTTTACCAAGAGTTAACAATAAATCAAAATTTGCCATGGCTGTTTTTTCATTTACCGTAATCTTTTTAAGTATAACTGGTTATAAATTTACTGAGATTAAGGGTATACCGTTTATCGCTAGAAATGATAAAGGAGAAATAATGTATTTTAGTGGTGGTATGAATTGGCAATTCGGTATTGAAATATTTACAGTTTCGACCATGTATTTGGTATTAGGCTTACAAACTTTACTTTTGATCTGTTTACCAAAATTATCAGTTAACGAAAATGTAAAGTTTATTTCTTGTTTATTCCTAACAGTGTCAATATTTTACTCATTCAGTTATTATATCAGTTGTTTTATGATAAAAAGTCCAGGTTATGCATTCTCATTTTAAAAGCATATTAATAGTATATATAACCATATGTATAAATATCCATCCCTATATGATATTAAATAATGGAAACCCAAGAAAGATATTCCCATTTTTGTTAAACATCTCCCATAGATAATAATAATGATAATAGTGATAATAGTGATAATAGTAAAAATAAAAATAAAAATATATAGAATCCCAGATTGATGAATAGTATAATCTATTTATATATAATAATTATACAATGCTTCCCATAAAGTTGTATCAGAAATTAAAAGTAAATTGTGATCTAATGTGTAAAATTTTTTTGTTGTTGTCAAGACTTAAATGAGTTAAAAAAAAGATTTAGTTGGATACGAATAAAAGAAAGATGTATCATGAATGCATTAAATTTGTTCTTCTTGAATTTGAATTTGGAGTTGATTTTCAATTTGTTCCTGTTCCGAGTCTGTGTTGATAATTAGGAAAGAACCCATGATTAAAGCTGCACCAACTACATATATCAATGTCATCGATCTATCAACAAAAATAAAATCACCCAACATTGCCAATGGGATTGTCACCGAAAGCCCTACTGTAACAATGAAAGGTGTCGTTAATAACATTGCGTTGGCCCAGCAATAATCACTAATAAATGTAATTAAACAGTTCAATATTATAATAATTGTAACCTTTTTAGAGGAAGGTAATTCAAAAGTCTCCCAATTGTAATATTGTAATAACAACATTATTGGCCAAAACAGTACCAACGTAAAAAAACCAACAAATCCAAAGAAAATATGCATATTTAGTCTAGTTTCATCTTGAACCTTATGCTTTAATAAAATTGAATAGACACTATATAATAAAGCGCCAGATAATGCTAATATGTTTCCGAAGACTATTTTAAATGGACTGTTTGAGTCACCATCAAATAATGATGCCAATGAATGTGGTTTTGTTATTGGCGGATAATCATAATTATAATAATCAGAATGAGTAACAAACAGGATACCAATGAATGAAATTAAGGAACCTAGTAATTTAGATTTTGTAACCGATTCCACTTTCCAAATAGCTCCGATAAATAAGGTGAAAAACGAAGAAGTTGAAGATAGAATAGTTTGTGAAGCAACACTTGTGTAAGCTAATGAAGCGTTTGTCACTAAATTTGCTAAAAACCATAGGGAACAAAATTGTAAACTTAACCAAATAGTTTCATTTAACGATAACCTCTCATTTTGTGATTTATTTGACTTTGTTCTATTTATCAATAGAGGATCAGTCTCTTCTTCATCATCAACCTCATGATGACCTTCTTGAGCAATAACTAACTCTTCATGTAAATTCTGAATTGGATTACTACAACCATTTCTTATTAAGTTTTTAGTAAATGTGAACAATAAAGGTACCAAATAAAAAATAAACGAAACTGTATTAATATAAGTAATAAAAAACGGTTTCCTATACAAATTATCCTTGAATATAATATTAATTAAAAATGACGATAGAACCCATAATATTACAACAATCCCCAGTAATATCAACCCCCATGACCACCTTTTCTGTACATCCAACATCATAAAACTATTAAAATATTACTTGAATACGTCTCTCTATTTTTATGTCTAGTTTCTACAATTGTGTTTTATTTTTCAATTTTTATTTTAATTTTAATTTTTATTTTTATTTTTATTTTCCAACTAGTACAACAATCAATAAAAATTTATTTTTTTGGGCAATACTAAATAAATACAACCACACCTAAATCCAAGAAACTAATTCCCCTTAATATACACTTCTTAGAAGCATCTAAATAAAATATAGTATAACCTTTGGTCATCGACCTTTGATTTGAACTTTATAAACTTTAAATATCATCGAATATAAATCAATTTGTATTTTTTTTTTTTTAAATTTTAAATTTCAAATTTTTTTTGGTAACAGAACGAACCTTTTTTAAAATACCCAAATCGACTTTTCACTAAGAAAACGCTGTACAAAGAACAGGAAATATATTTAAAACATGGATGTGAAAATGGGTAAAAAAGTGTGTGAAGTGAGAGCTAAACAGAGTAAAGAAAGGAACCATTTACGGTGACGAACGTAAAAATGTGTAATTAGGACTACTAAACGGGAGAGAAAGAGAAAGAGAGAGAGTGAGTGTGTGTCATTGGTATAGAGAATTAATCATGATTCCATATTTCTATCAAGTATAGTACTGTATTATATTTAAGTAATGTTATCGTAATATTCATATAACTTCGGAATCCAATCTATATGAATAACTACAAAATAGATATACATATTCAGCTCAAGTTAGCTTAAACTTAAGCTTAAGCTTAAGCTTAAGTTTATGAATGATGAATGAATACGGGACGGGCCATTAGGATATAATATTGTCTGTCTGTCTGTCTAGCCACAGTTTCGTTTAGCACTAGACTAGCATAGAAGGCTAAAAAAAAAGAGGAATGTAACGGACGGATTGGTAATTGTTAGGAGTGAATTTTGCTTTGTGGGAAAAAAGGAAAGGGGGAAGTAGGAAGAGTCTAAAGAAAACATCAACACACATTTATAGCTGTTATAGCTGTTTGTCTTATGCAAGGTTATTTGTTCGTGGGATATGAGCAAAAAAACAAAAAAACAAAAAAACACATAAACACACACTAGGAAACGACAAGTAGTACATATCACGTGTATGTTAATACACGTGATATTCTTTTTTGAATTTACCCGGCTAGCGGTTACGGAGATATAGGGCCAAAAAAAGAGTGCAAGCGGGAGGAACTAAAAGGATACTAAAAATATAAAAAAAGGGGGAAACACATAGAAAAACACAGATATCTCTGACGGAAGTACTGGTGGGCGGCAACCCCTAACCCCGAGTACCGCCAGTCTCGCTTCAATACACGTTGGCTCGCCTCCCCCCTTTTTTTTTAATTAATTAATTAATATATTGATTTGTATTCAAATGACACAAAAACGAAAAGAATATCAATTGTTGCTTATAAAAAAATTTAATATAAAAGGGACCCAAATTTCCCAGTTTTTCTGTTTCTCTAATTGCCACTTTTTCCAAGTCAAAAACTCACGTCTTTGTAAATATAATATTCCTTTTTTTTTGGTATTTCTATTTCTATTTCTCTTTTCTGTTTTATTCTATAGTTAAAAAAAGATGGGCAGGAGGCAACAAGAGGCAAGATACAGTCACGAGTGGGAGTGGGAGAGGGGGCAATTAAGTGCAGTGACGTTTGGGAACATGGGGGAAAGAATGATTTAGGAATACTTTTATCTACTACAATAGGGGGAGGTATGGGGGACACGGTAGAAGGGCAGTGCAACAGTGCGAGTAGCGATGTATGGGAGAGGAGGGACTAGGGAAAATGTAGATACTTATGGCTTTCTTTGAAAAGTTTAGATTATCACCTTTGGACGGCAGGCATATCGATTGATGTATGATTTAGCTCAAAGTTCTCATAACTATAACTGGATTAAATAATTAGAACAACATATAGGGCAATTGCCAGAATCCAACTGACCAAGATCAAAATATACTTCCTTTGTTTATAACTATGATACCAAAATTTTAACCGCGATCTCATGAATACAAGTGTAGTATCACATAGGACGAACACATCATGTGATCAGCTTTAGATTTTCCTTTTCTTTTTTGTTTTTATTTTTTATTTTAATTATTTTGTCTGTTCATACATATTTGAGAAAAAGTACACAGACAACACTATGGTAGTATTTCATTTTATTTTCTTGGTGCCCGCCCGTCCTGTTTATATTTTCTGAAAATATTCGTTGGATGATACAACATATTCATTTTTATTCGATTTATTCACCAGCAGAATATATATAGTGGTGTTAGTCAATCTTCCTTCTGCTTCTGACAGTTAACTGCAGTGTGTAATTATATATATTCATCATCTTATATTTTTTTTTATTTTTTTTATTTTTTTTGGAATTTGTAGACCGTTCCAAATTAGTGGTGTTTGTTGTAAATACAGGAAATGAAATACTTTAACTATTGTTTTGACCTTTTATTACTAGCTTCTTACACTTTAAATTTATTAGGGTCTTTGCCTTTGTTTATTTCATTTTAGACATATTGATTATAAAACAGATTTAAGTTCAATCACTATTCTTATATTTCTCGTTGTTCCTTAGCTGACAACTGTCAAGATTAGAAAACTTGAATAAAGTCTCATATCAGGACAAGCAACTAAAACATCTTCAAGTTTTCCAACTTCTTTTATTTTAATTTCAAGATGTCGAAAAAAATGTCCCTAGAAGAATTTCTAGGTAATGATTCATTAAGTGACTCTTTATGGAATGAAGATGAAATCAATTTAGATGCAATTAATGCCACTACAAATATCGATTTGTTGAGAAGTGCCAATACAAATTTAGGCAATAAAAATTTAAATAAAACAAATGGACCTCCTTACATTGTTAAATTTGAAAACCTACCAGCAGACTTTACAGATTTTGAAATAACCGATTTGTTTAAGTCAAAGTTTACTAGTTTCATAAAGTTCAAGTTGTTTTGGGAGTTAAACAAAAATCCAAATTTAGAGCAGTTAAATTCAAAAAGTCAATTTATCAAAAATTTTGTTACTTCATCAAAAGTAGCGTTTGTAGAGCTATATTCTTCAAGAGATTTAGAAAAAATTTTGAAATATTGGTATGATCCTTTAAAAGATATTTACAATATTATAGTAAGTGTTGCAAAATTTGACGATTTTAAAAATTATATATCAAAGGATGAATTATTGGCTAACGAAAATCATCCACAAGCTGGCAAACCATTACCACCATCTTTCGAAAGAAATGCAAATGCTGACGCTGGCCATGCTACAAATATTAAGGACACACATCCTGTTGATAAGAAGGAAAAAGATAAACAAAACCCATTTGGATCAGCAAAACCTGTCGATACTCAATCTAAAATTTTAGAAATAGAAGATAAGATCACAACATTCCATGTAGAAGATACATCTACATTAAGAAAATTATCTCAATCTGATGCTGACTCAGAAAGACCTTCTCTATTGATTCCTGGAAAAGTTACAATTTTGAAAAAAGAAAACAAACCTTTAAGTTACTCACATATTGCATCTAAAACTGCTTCTACTACTACTACAACAACTACTTCTCCAACAGAAGTAATCTCTGATTATAATAATATGACAGTAACAGAGTCTTACAATAGAGGTGATCATGAAGAAGCCATCGAAGAAGAAGAGGATGAGAGAACAGATGAACTAAACACCTCTGAAGATGAAGAAGATAACAAGAATGTTACAACATATGATACAAACAAGAACTCTGATCACGACTCAAAGCCATTTATTTACAAAGATGGAGAAAGAGTACCAAACAACAAATTTTACAACAATAAACCTAATAATTACAATAACCGTGGGAACTACCGCGGTGGTCACAGAGGAGGACAAGGTTATAACAGAGGAGGACAAGGTTACAACAGAGGTGGACAAGGTTATAGCAGAGGCGGTTCTTCATATAACTCCAGATACAATAATAATAACCAAAATGAAGGCCATGGCCATCAAAATTCTAATGATGACAATTCTAACCAAAATAATTCAAACGATGAACGTTATTCTTTGTTCAAACCTGCAAGTGGATTCCTACAAGGAGGAAATGACAGAAATTCTAGAAACTTTAATAAAGGTCCTGGCAATAATAGTGGTTACACACCTCATCATGGTTCAAGTCGTGGTGGACGTGGTGGACGTGGTGGACGTGGTGGTCGTGGCGGTCGTGGCGGTCGTGGAGGATCCAGTAGAGATTCTTACAATCGTACAAACAATTAATTAGTTACTTGATGTTTTGTTTCAAATTCATTTAGCAGTGTATTAAGAGCATTATCTCATGTTAATTGTTAGCTTACTTTTCTCTTCCAAGATATGGATGCTACGCCCTTACTTTCATGAATAATCTTACATATATGTGTGTGCTGTTATACTACTACTCTTCCTACTTTATTTATCTACCTCTATATATATGTACGTATGTAATTTCCATATTAATGCATTATTATAATATAATAAAAAATAATAAAATATTCTATAATCTCTTAACTACCCTTTAGAGGATCTAGTTCTTTGTTCTCTATACAATATTTCACAGACTTCTGTAATTGGAAGATCAATGACCCCACTGGATTCTTTGAATGCATGCTTATCTAAAAAGTCATTAAAATCATCTTCAGTTGCTACATTACCTTTTGCATCAGTTATAGTTCGAAGTTCATCAAGCGCTGGAGTAAGTACATCTTCATTGTACATTAATAACGCAGTGTATACCCAAAGCATTCCCATAAGAACAAAACATTCAAAATATATCAACCAGCTACGTTGCGGTAGTATATCCATAATATCATTGATGAATTCTTTTCGTATTATCCATATATCTACATCTTGTGGTATTAGAGACCAAACTATTAAAAATACCAATAACGAACATGTTAAAAAATGCCTTGAAAACCAAAAATACTCATTAGTATACGACACATTCATATTCATTAGATCTGTACTCCAACCAGACTCATAGAGTATCTCATCACCTTCTTTATTCATTGTTATCCACCAACCTTTAATATCATTTTCGATATCACATCAGTTTTAAATAACCAATTTGCATATAAAATCTCAATAATTCGGAAATTAGCAGCTTATAAGTAAGACAGAAATGAAAGAACTGAACTACCAAATGGATTGATGTTTAGAATGCCTATGTAACATCTATCATTCTAAGAACAAAACTATAAATTATTATCATTGCTATTATTATTATAGATCTAATATAGAATAGTATTTATTGGTATAAAATATGACTGTTGTATTTAATATTAGATGACTATAAAAGTTGGTATATATCCCTTTATATACACTTGATGAAAAAAAAAAATTGAGCAATAATGATATGGAATATTTATATCATCCTTCTAATTGATATATTTACTATGCATATTTCCACTGATATTACTGGAATGATATTATATTTTCTGAATATACTATATTTGTTTTTTATTTTATTTTTGAGAACTCTTTTTTAAAAAAATCTTATTGTTAAAAATCTACCAATGCCAAGTTATAGAGGCAGCATTTACTAATAACTTTGGAATTGCTGTTGTTGCTGTTGGTTAGCTATTTTTCTTTCTTGTCTTCCCTTTTTCATAACTTGTTTTAGTGCCGCACCATCTAATGGATCCAATAATTCAAATGAACATAACAAACCTTCACTGACACTCATAACAGCACCCCAATTATCAAATTCTCCACAATAATTAGGTGCGGAGAAAACTGTCACTAGACTCCTATCGTTAAAAAATTCATACCCATCTTCAACAACCATATGCGCTCTACATACTAAATCAAATCCAAATTTGTTCAAGAACTTGTTTATTGCAACTTTATTATAACAATAACTCACACCTCTTTCATTATCCTCCCACTCATAAATTGAATCTGTTGGGGTCGGACCAATATAATCATTAATCAGTCCAAAATCAGGAACATCAGTAGGGCTACTAACATGTCTAATTTCATCCATCGAATTCAGGACTGGAAATAAACCTCCATGCACCACAAATATCTTACCTGTTACAATGGCTGCCAATGGTAAAGTATTAAATGTTCCAATGAAACTTTTCCATGTTCTTATATTACAACGACGTTTACATTCATTATAAAAACCATAAACTCTTGTAACATTTGCACACTCGTGATTGCCTCTCAATAAAAAGAAATTTTCTGGGTATTTGATTTATTAACATAGCAAAAGTAATATAGTTTCCAAGGACTGTTTACCACGATCAACGTAGTCTCCAAGGAATAGATAATTTGCTGATGGCGGGAACCCACATTTTGTGAATAGCCTTAATAAATCTGCATATTGACCATGCACATCACCGACAATCTTAACTGGGGGTGATAATTCCAGAAGAGGTGGCTGTGAAAGGAATATTTCTCTTGCTTTATGACATATTTGTGCAATTTCAGAATTTTTTAAACAAACGTTCTTTGTTCTTTTAGCCGCATATCCCGCATCAAGCAGTTTTTGAATAGTCTCATCTATATCCACCACCTTAGTTGGCTTTTTTATTTTATCCGAATTCAAGTAATTTCCCTGCTTCATAGTATCATTACCTTCAATGTTCATCTAATCAATACCATTATCAACATTTTGTGCGTTAATACCAGGAGAATAACCCGAATTAGACAATCTCCTCCCGTATTGGTCTGAATTATCATTTAATGAAAGTGACGCCATTCCTGAATATTCATCGCCATTTTGATATGCACTTCCACTTGAACCTCCATGATTACCACTAAAATAGTCAGAGTTTTCATTCAATTCATTTGATTTTACAGCTGGCGAATTTAGTGGAGTGCTGTATGCATTTGTTCCAAGGGAATTCATCGATGAACGTCTACTATGCGATGAGCCATGAGAACCTGAACGAACCATAGCTGGAAATGACGAAGTATTACCGTCAGATGCTTCCATAGAACTATCTGTCTTTCTACGGCTTCTTGAGAGAAATGAATTACTTCTTGAACTTGAAGGACGAGAGGAATTGCTATGTCTAATCCCATCTATTCTATTGCCATTATTATCAAAATTATTGTTATCGTCATCATCATCATCATCATCAGTTAGTGCATTTTCATTATATGAAAAGGAATTGGCTGACTGGTTATAGTAACTATTTTTCAAAATTGGTGATTTTGGCTTAACTCTAATCATTGATGGTGGAAGCTCAATATTACCAGAGTTAAAACTTGATCTCTGGTTCAAAGATTCACGCCTACTTTGTGAGTCCTTGTTAATTTGTAAATTGCCACTGCTGCTGATGTTATTATTATTATTGCTATTGGTATTAATATTATTGAAATTATTACTGTTTATGCTGTTCCCTGTATTGATATTGTCAAAATTATAATGACTATTATTATTATTATTATTGTTGTTGTTGTTATTATTACTATCATTGTTGTTATCGTTATTATTGGAAGTTAAATTATTACTACTATTAACGTTCCCATTATTATTATTATTATTGTTATTATCACTATTATTACTGTTACTACCAAATTCATCACGGGTAGGCATATTTCCTAATGATTGACTGCGATTGTGACTATGTCGCTGCTTGAAATCATTTTTAGCAGATTGCGAACCTGACTTCGACGTTGGGAGACTTTGATCTGATGATTTTGATCTTGAATTCCCCCCACTACTTAAGGAAGATTGTGATTTCTTATTCTTTAACGACCGTATCGATCTTGATGACTTCTGCGATTGAGAAGTATCTGTTCTTGTAAATGGCGGTACAGAATCTTGACTCGAAGACTTCTTCGATGGTTTTGAATTTGAATTACCCATTATAATAATCTTCTATCACACAATGTCCAAATATAAATAAGCGCAAATAAAGTAAAATAAAATAAAAACAAAAACACACACACAAACCAGATAAAGCTCAATGTAATAGAGTAGCGCTAACAATTTGTCAGTACCGTCTTGTAATATGTTATAATTATTCCTGTTTCCTTCTATATTGAAGATAGATTTCAACAAATCTTAGAGGACAAGACAAAATATCTAGTTCAAAAGATTACTCCTTAAAAAGTAGAAACCAAACCCCAAAATCCTTTAACTTCTAACAGAATATGGATAAACCAAACAAATCAGACAAATCAACTGGAAAGATGACCTAGACAACTCCTGGTTTGATATAAATTTCCCTAATTCTATAATTATTAAAATCAGCAAAGTTTTCTAGAACTCAAAATAGAACCAAAAATGTGCCGTGTTAAAAACAAAATAAACCTATCAAAACCCAAAACAATATACAAGAAATCTGATTTCACTTCCCTTTGAACTATTAAATATCAATAAACCAACCTTTTAACTCTTTATCATCTAACCTTTTTAAAACTCTTTTACACATCTCTTTTTTGTTAATTTTAATTATAAAACTAAGCTAAACCTTATTGAATTGTTCTTGTTGAAAGGGGTTCCCGGGAAAAAGACAAAAGATGAAAAAGACTGTAAATGATTAAGACTATTGAAGGTCAGTTTAAAGAACAGCATTGGCTATGATGAGGAACTGGTTCTAAATGAAGAGTAGTATGTTGGTTTTGTTCTGTTGGTTTTAGGTTATCTTTTACAATTTGAATGGTAAAATTCGAACCAGTAGTTCTGGAGTTAATAACTTATTTTTTTGATGTGAAAAATTACAATATGGCGACATATACATATATATAGATTTATCAACTTCCACATATATATATATATATGATGTGATGTGATGTGATGTGATGTGGGGGGTACAAGTGGGTCGAATGAGAAATATTTCAGTTTATCTGAACATCCAACCGTTACCTTCACCTTGAGTTCTCCAGGCAGGTGACAATGACGTTTCACTTTGCAATTGATATAGACGCCATGCTTCTCTAATGTGCTCAGGCAAGATGGGACTGTTATCAGAATATTTTTCTATGCTGACATCTAAAGTGTTGAATTCTTTCACTAGTTTGTTGTATTGGTCAATCAACCCAATTTTAACTTCTTGAGGATTCTGATTACCCAACTTCAATAGTTTATTACCATTTTTAACATATTCCATTTCGTCTTTATCATCATCAAAATATGTATCACTTTCATTTTCATCAACGCTATCTTCATATTCATCGTTTCTCTCTACCAATAATGTCAATTTTTTCAAAAATTTCTTTAACCTTTTGCCAACATATTTACGACGTTCATATTGGATATCCATCTTGCTTAATAACCATTTTTGTCTTGCGTCAAGTGCCAATTCAATTATTTCACCTGCAAATATTTTACCAACTGCCTGAAGAAATACACGAATATTCTCTGTTACACTTTGATTAATCACTGTACCTGCTAATTTTTTCACTTGTGATTTGTTTAAAGAAGTACGATGGAATACTTCAAACCTATTAGTCTGTTCAGAATCAAGATTGGTAACTAATAATCTGAACTGTTCGTCTTGATCCAATATCCTTGGGAAATGAACGTTATGTAATTTCTCATCTCTAACATCCTTCGGAAATACCATCCCTTTAGGGACTTCGTTCACCATCTCTTCTACCCCATTACCATTGCCAATTCTTCGTATCTTTGTAGTCATTTCATTAGATCTGTCATCGTTACCACCACGTCTTCTTTTTTTGCTATTTAAGTTATCATAAACCTCCATCGTACCACCAGTTCTCATACTCTTCATTTTCCATAAAACGTACTCATGATCTTCACTCAATACTTGATCGATCATCTGTTTAGTGGCAAAATAATTAGCCATAGTTATCAAAGATGAGTAATTAGACTTTGGTATTATATCTAAAGGTCCCTGTGGTCCTGGCATCTTTATCTCGTATCAACAATTTGGATTCTAAAATACTTTTACTTTTATTCAAATAAAAACGAACAAGCAAACAAACAAACGATGAAGCAAAATATATATATATATATATATATAAACACACTGAAACCAATACTATATGCTTCCAAATACCCAGATTACCTTCCCTTCAGTCACTTACCTTTCTATTAGCTACAAAACTTGGCTTCTTGTTATCAGTATTCTGGTTCAAAGTTTCTTTATATCTGCTTTAATAGTTAATTTTATCATGTAAGCTACAGAATTTCATCAGTTTTGTATGGCGAAGAGGAAAACTGGAATATTAATAAAGAGCAATTGCTACAAATGACGGTTAAACTAGACAATCTAGTGATCAGTAACTTTATCTATGCATCTTATTGTTTGTTTGTCGAGTCTTTTTTTATATAGTGTTATATAAATATTTATATATATATATATATGTGAGTGTATTGCCCATGGCGAGCATTGGATTGTAACGGTCTAAAGAAGTGAGAGTAATAAATATAACAACAGAAGAAATAAAAAAAGACACGTTTTCTTATGACATTATCGTCTAGATCTTTTCCTTTTCATTTCCATCGTTATTCTTGGTTGGAAGAGTCTCTGATTCTTCTGATTTAATTTCTTCATTTTTTTTCTCCTTCAGCAATTTGATCAAACCTAATAGTAGAACCAAAGTAGTTGGACCAAAAAATGGGAAATATACTGCCATTTTGTGTTCTTGAGGGAAATAGTTTTGTTGCACCATTTTACCATCAAAGAATGCCGATTCACAAACTTTGACCAATTCATTACTTAATAATAAGGCTTCGTTCCAAACTTGATTTCCTGCAAGTTTTGGATTATTCAATAATTTTATGATCTTATTTCTTAATTGGATAGCAGTCTTAACATCCTCTGCTACTTCAGTTGGAATTGCCATTTGTTCAAAAGTTTGTGTCAATCTAACCAAAGATTCCAATGTCTCTAAAGATTTATCCAAATTTTTCACTGTCACATATCTCTTGAAGGAATCTAGAATAATATATGGAGAAGTCATCTCATTATTTACTTGTTCAATTCCAAGCAATTGTATTATTTTTTCGCTGAATTGGTACATTATAGGTTTCAAATAGTTATCATCTAGAACAGCCTTTGATTTCAGTGGATATTTATTAATAATCAATACCCCCCATTGTGGAATAACAAAACTTTCCCATTGTGTGCTGATATCAGTACCTTCAATGGTCAATTCAGTGGAGTTGATAAAGTTTAACCCAGTTGGCGCTGTTCCGGAACTTGGGAACACGATAGCTAAGTTCAAACCAACTGCCTCTGAGAAATCATCAATTGAAGATACTTCTGAAATATCAGCGACATAAGAAATATCCTTAACCGAAACCGATTCCAATTCATTCAATTTATATAAATTCAAATCGCTGTAGTAGACAAGGTTAGTATCGACGGTAAAGTTAAATACTGGTGATAAAAACTTTCTTAATGGAGTGATGTAATTTTTCAAAGAATTATCAATATCCCAACTTATTGGAGAACCATCACCAGATAATAATGATAAACTTAAATGTACAGTTGGGTTATAAGAAATTGAAAGTTGATGTTCCTTTGTATTGTAATTGTTTGAGAAATGAGATGATTCTAATTTGAAAATGTCATTTAACATAGAATTTGAAATGAATTGTAAAAGATCGTCATATTCTACAGATTTGAAGTCGAATTCTACTATAGAGACAGTTGAATCTTCACCTTTTTGCAAACTTAAAGAAGGACCCTCTTTAAGTCTGAGAACATGATACGAAGTAGGATCAATTTCTATGGAATCTTCGATTTTTTCATTCATTTTCTGAACATTAACAGTCCAATCAATTGGTTTATTTTCCAAAGTAGATAATTTTGAATTAATTACGTTTTGTAACTCGGCATGCAGATTAGAATAATACTTTCTGTTGTAATCCACAAAGAATGGAATACTTATATGAATATCATTATGTCTATCGTGAGAGAGATTATTAATATATTCTAATGGTAAAGTTGCCCTATGGACAGAAGTTAACTTATACCACAGCGGCAGTCCGAAAAGCAAATAGATAGCAACAAAGGCCAGACCCACTAGTCTTCTCAACGTGAGTTGTTGAATCCCATATATACCCATATCTTTATCTAATATAATATTACCTTGAATGAAACTTTGAATTGAACTCCAGAACCTTATATTCTTGACTATTAGTGTGTATGCAAAAACTTTCAAACAAACCAAATAAAAAAAAGGACAAACCTATCTCTTATATTGCTATAAATTGGTCTATTTCAAACGAAAAGGGAGAGGGATAACAAACCAATGTTCAATAAACTAGCTATTCAATTGATCTTTGATCCTTGGATATCAGTCTTACCCTTGTAATTATCAATTGTTCAACTTCCCATTACCTAATTATATGTATATATATATATATATGATTTGTTTTATGCTTTTATATTTTCATAGTTTTCCAATGTGGTGTGCTGTGGTGTGCTGATTTTCAAATGAAATTCTTTTTGGTTTCGAGACTCCTGGAGTAGTGGCACGTGACAGTCACATGTATATCACATGTATTGTGATAGTGATTGACCATTTGCACTGGACTGGACTGGACTGGACTAGACTGGAGTGGAAGGGAATGCCATCAAAGAGGACTGGTAAGTTAGATAAGATAAGATACACAAACACACACAAACACACAGATACTAATACTGACGCTGACGCTGTCGCTCATTTAAGCCCAACTGAACAAGCACCAGCCAAACAAGTTCATCATTGTCTACGTCATATTCCAACATCAAGATCACATTCCACGAAGGAAAGGGGCGGGTGAAACAAATCCCAACCAGCCAAGAATAACTTCACTTCGAGGATTTATATAAATTGAAGATGATCTCTATTAACCTTTGAGCTTTAAGAACTTACAATCATGGAGAATCTACATGCCATTTTTGCTATATTTGCTATCGGATTGATTGCTTTATTGTGCTCAATATAGTGCTGATATCAAAACGGTTGTGGCAGCAGTTGCTAGTTCAGTGGGTTTTAGAAAGCTTAAAAGACCAAAAACTAAAAAAAATATACATATAAATAAAAACGACTTACAACTGATCTCACTTTTATTCAATCATCGTCGTTTTCCATCACATATTGTTCCAATAATTACTCTGATAGAGCTTTACTAGTTCAAGGAGCCTAACGAAACGAACGTACTGTAAATAGCTTAGCGATAAAGCAACGGATCCACACTGTTGTTTTAACGAACTTTTAAGTACCCACTATAACATTTTCCATTTATTTCAATCGTGCAATTAATAAATTATTTATAAACATGCCTGTCGTGAAGTACAAGGATCAGGAGTTTCATCTCTCTCACGATGAAGAAGATAAATTAAACCAGTTTCAGATGATTAGTAGTTTCCCAGAAGACGAGCTACCCCAAATTATAAAATTATTAAGAAATCATGGTTGGAGTTTAGAACCAGCTTTAGGTAGATATTTCGATGGCACTTGGAAAGATTCTTTCAATATGGTTGATCCAGAAATGACCGCTGTTCCCCCAACAATACCTGATAGAATACCAACACCCACTCCTCCTTCTCTTCCCCCAGTCATACCTAATGCTGGTCCATTTAGGAATGATATCATCAGAGACCCATTTATGTTCGAAAACATTACAAATAGTCTCGTGCCTTCATTACCAATAGTCAACGCATTACCAAATAATTTTAAAGACAAATACAGACATGTAGGCTTACAAAATAAGAGCGATGATATATGGAATATTGGGAATGACGGAAATCCTATAATAGCTATACTATTTTTCTTACCTAAGTTGTTAATTAAGATCGGTGGTGGGCTGCTGTCATTAATTTGGACAATTATAACCTTTGGTTTTAACTCGCATTTAAATGATTCGGATAGAGTGGTCGCTATTCCTAAAAAACCTTCAGAAAATTCAAAATCAATTGAACTTGTTCTAACAGAGTTATTAGATGATGAAACAAATCTAAGCAGAGTCAAAAATTTGGTTATTAACCAAATCTCATTTAATGAAGCCTTAACTGCCTGTAAAGAGGAATTTAAATACATTTTAGTTATCATCATTGGGGAAACTTCAGAAGTTGATACTGAAATTGTAGATAAGAATTCGCAACTGTTTATTAAGAAAATTCTCTCAAATGATGACGTTCTAAGCAAACTAGAATCTATGAAAGACGATATGCTGATTTATTTGCATCAAGCCTCAGAGTTAGAACCTTGGCTAGTCTGTAAGAATATGAAAATCAAGTACACTCCAGAATGTTTGTTAATCGGTAACGTACTAAATTCCACAGGCTCTTTAAATGGCATAACAAGACCATCTGTCTTGGCAAAGATAAGAGTCACAACTATTAAAAAGTTTTTAAACTCTTTAACCGTAACAGTTGATAGATTTAATCCAGAATTAGTAGTAAGTAGAACAGAAATGGAAGAGTTGAAACTCGCAAGACAGTTGAAACAAATGCAAAATGATGCCTACGAAGAGTCACTAAAATTAGATAGGAAAAAGGAAGAAGAAAAGAAGAAGGCTGTAGAATTGGCTGAGAAACAACTGATAGAAGAAGAACAAAGACAAAGACAAATAAAGATAAATGAAACATTGAAACATTTGAAGTGGCTAAAAAAATGTATAGAAATAATACAAGAACAAAACACGCATACTATCGATACGAATGAAAAAATCGCTACTTTACAGATTAGAACATCTAAAGGTACTCGTATGATTAAAAAATTCAAACCAACCACCACATTGCATTCCATCTATCTACATGTTGGATGCCATCTATACCTAGATAATTATTCTTCAGATAAAGATGAGTTAACTAGAAGTATTGTAGATATGGTAGAATCACATATGGATAATGAAGCTTTATTATGCTTTAAAGATAACGACATTGATAAAGAAGACTTGGAACTTGATTCTGTTCTTGATTTAATTAAATCAGAAATTATAAAATTAAAGGTTCCTGACGAAAAATTAACTGATATCGACTTCGACTTCGAATTGGTCTCCCCATTTCCTCGATTCAACGTGCCTACAGATAAAAAGGTAAGTGTCAAGGAGGTTAAGGAGTTGTGGCCTAATGGTAGTTTACTAGTGGAAGAAATCATTGAAGATAATGATGACGAAGACGAAGATGACGATTATGATGAGAAGAAACAAGATTGAAGCAAAATTTATATAGACCTTTCAATCTTTCAAACTAGATTGACCTATCTAGCTCAATTCAAAACTAATAAACAAAGTAAAAAGATGTAGAATTGTAAAATAAGCTAACTAAAATAATGAAAATACTTAATGATACTAAATCAATCTATGTATTAATCATCTTTTATAACCGTATATATGTTCAGGCATTGTGTAGTTGTTCATCTTTAAGCTAAGAGTTTACCCCATCCTACCTCATCTCACTCACGTGACTTTCTTGATAATGTTGGCCGGACTTCCATTTAATTACAGAGAGCAATTAATATAAGAAGGTACATTCAATATAAGAATATGATTTCTAATAATTATATAAATTGGCAGTTTATTCAGGTGTAGAAGTACAACAAAGAGCTGGAAGACCATTTTAAATTGTTGTTAAAGAGAATTACTCACCCAGGTTATAGTTGGTTTAATACAAGGAATTCAATGCTAAGATTTCAGCGATTAGCATCTAGTTATGCTCAAGCGCAAGTACTTAGAAAATATCCAGTTGGTGGTATCTTACATGGTTATGAGGTCAGAAGAGTGCTTCCTGTTCCAGAATTGATGCTTACTGCTGTAGATTTAGTTCATAAACAAACTGGTTCCGAACATTTACACATAGATAGTGCTGACAAGAATAATACTTTTAGTATATCATTCAAGACAAATCCTCCTGATTGTACTGGTGTCCCACATATTTTGGAACATACTACTCTATGTGGTTCTCAGAAGTATCCTGTAAGGGATCCATTTTTTAAAATGTTGAATAGGTCTTTGTCAAATTTTATGAACGCTATGACAGCTCATGATTATACATTTTTTCCATTCTCTACCACTAATGAAACTGATTTTAAGAATTTAAGAGACGTTTATATTGATGCTACTTTGAATCCACTATTGAAAATAGAAGATTTTTTCCAAGAAGGTTGGAGACTAGAACACTCCGATGTAACCGATCCAAAAAGTCCAATTGAATTCAAAGGTGTTGTCTACAATGAGATGAAAGGTCAAATATCTAATGCCAATTATTATTTTTGGAATAAATTTCAAGAAAGTATTTATCCATCGTTGAATAACTCAGGTGGTGATCCAAGTAAAATAACAAATTTGACTTATGAAAATTTAGTTGATTTCCATTCCAAAAATTATCATCCTTCCAATTCAAGAACATATACCTATGGTAATTTGCCATTAGAAGATACCTTACAATTTTTGAATAAAAAATTTGCTGGATATGGTAAAAGAAATAGGAACAAGTCAGTTCTTAAACCTATTTCATTGGATAGTATCACTACTATCGAAACAACAGGTCAAATCGACCCTATGTTACCTCTAGATAAGCAGACAAAATCATCAATGACTTGGTTGTGTGGATCTCCAGATAACTTTTATGAAACATTTTTATTGGGGATAATTGGTAACTTATTATTAGATGGTCATTCTTCAACTTTATACAAAAAGTTAATTGAAACAGGCCTTGGTACTGATTTTTCTGTAAATACTGGTATGGAGACTACTACCGAGTCGAACTTCTTCACTGTCGGCTTAAATGGTATTAGTGATGCTGCTGTATTAAAAGATGAAGTATTAAAGACTTTGAAGTTAATCTTGGATGAGCCAATTAACAATAACAGAGTTGAAGCTATCATTCAACAATTAGAATTATCTAAGAAAGACCAAAAATCTGAATTCGGATTATTATTATTATATTCAATCATTCCAGGATGGTCAAACGCTCGTGATCCATTCAACAACCTGTTATTTGAAGAAACTATTGCTAGATTTAGAGAAGATTGGGATAAAAAGGGTAATGAATTGTTCAAAGATATTATTCGTAAATATATTATTGATAAACCATATTTCCAATTCACTATGAAAGGTTCAGAAAATTTCTCAGCTGAATTAGAAAAAGAAGAAGCTGAAAGATTAAAGGCCAAAGTTACAAGACTAGATGAGGATGATAAGAAAATAATCTTCAAAAGAGGTGCTCATTTACAGGCGCTTCAAAACGAAAAGGAAGACATTTCATGCCTACCAAGCTTAAAGGTTGAAGAAATTCCAAGAACTTCTGATGTTTACCCAGTTGTATCGGACAGCAATATTAAACATAGAATTACCGAAACTAATGGTATAACCTATTTAAGAGGTAAAATCAATCTTGACAAAAAGATTCCTGAACATTTATTTCCTCTTCTACCATTGTTTTCAGACTGTTTGACTCATTTAGGAACTAAGACGGAAGAGTATAGTAAAATCGAAGAAGCTATGAAATTGTATACTGGTGGTATCTCTACGCATGTAGATGTCGGTTCAGATCCTATAACCTCCCATCCAAATCTGTTATTTAGATTTGATGGTTGGGCTTTGAACTCTAAGACAGATAAGGTAACTGAAATATGGGAGAAGCTATTAGTGAATACCGATTTTAAACAAAATAGTGAAAAGATCAAGGTTTTGATTAAATCAATGGTATCATCCAACACATCATCTATTGCAGAATCTGGGCATTCTTTTGCCAGGAGTTATTCTTCAGCTCATTTAAGCACTACAAGGGCAATTAACGAAGTTTTCCATGGTATTTCCCAAGTCCAACTTTTAAATAAATTAGCAATGACATTAGAAAACGAGGAATTATTCCAAACAGAAATTGTTGATAAATTGGTTGAATTGCAAAAATATATGATGGATTCTAATGAAGTTCAATTTTTTGTCACCACTGATTCTATTCAACAAGTTGCTAAAGTGAAACAAGAGCTGGACACATTTGTTGGAAGTCTATCTCCAATCGAGAAGAACGGTGGTGTTAACATTGAATCTTATCCAAAACTTGCTCAAAAACCAGGAGTAATGTCTACATTAATTAATTTCCCATTCCAAGTTCACTATTCAGGAAGTTCTCTGCCAGGTGTTCCATACACTCATAATGATGGAGCACCATTACAAGTTCTATCCAGTATGTTAACTTACAAATATTTACATAAGGAAATTAGAGAAAAAGGAGGTGCTTATGGTGGAGGTGCAACATATAGCGCCTTAGATGGGATCTTTTCATTTTACTCATACAGAGATCCAGATCCAATCAGATCGTTAGAGACATTTCACAATTGCGGACAATATGTCCTAGAAAACCTCAAGTGGGATACCGCCGACTTAAACGAAGCCAAACTAACCTTATTCCAACAAGTAGATGCACCAATTAGCCGTAAGTCAGAAGGTACTATATACTTCCATTCTGGAGTCACTGATGAGATGAGACAAAAGAGAAGAGAACAATTATTGGATACTTCATTGATAGATATTCACAGAGTCGCTGAAAAATATCTATTAAACAAGAAACCAATCAATGCAGTAGTGGGACCTGAAATTGAAGGTAAAACAGTCCCACCAACTTGGGATGTAATAAACTTCTAAGATACTGAAACATAAATCTAGATCCATCTAAAAGTGTGTGTGTGTGTGTTAGCTTCATATTCCACTCTTCCCCTTCCCTTCCCCCAATCTAACCCTTGAGGAAAGACCTTCTCAAACATTATATCCTCCAATATCTGTACCTTATACAATTATGTAAATAATCTTCCACAATCAATGATGATTGTATCGATCCTGTTAATACAATACCATCTATTCCACATCCAATCTACCCATCTACCATAATCATAGACAGCTTTAAACTTGGCCTTGTTCGCTATTACGTAGCTTTCCCAGATACTTTGACGCGAAATTTGATAAGAGCAGAGAGTTTTTGACAGGAGATATAAAATTGAAAATGGTAACTAACAATTGACATATTTGATAAAGAATTGATTAAAGTTATATATTTAATTAGTGTCAAGGGCAATTAGATCAGGAGACTTAGAAAAGGTATCTGACGATGTTGAGTAGTAGAGTTTCATTTGTTTTATTTCTGTTCGGTTTGATCTCTCAGATCAATGCTTTGAATTTTGAGATTCCAGCATCTAATAACCCAGAACCTTATTGTGTTCGTGATTTCGTCAGTGAAGGTCAATTAGTTGTTATTACAGCTGAATCAGATGGATCAGTTGGTGATGGTCAAATTTTGAGCATGGTTGTTCGTGATTCTAATGGGAATGAGTACCGTAGAAAGAAGGATTTTGCTGGTGAGGTACGTGTAGCCTTTAATGCACCATCTAGTGTTTCATTCGATGTTTGTTTTGATAATACAGCTCAGGTTCAAGGTAGATCCATGAAGAGATATGTTGAATTGGATATTGAAAGTGGTGCTGAGGCTCGTGATTGGAACAAGATTAGTGCAAGTGAAAAATTAAAGCCAATTGAATTGGAATTACGTAAAATCGAAGAACTTGCTGATGAAGTTGTTGATGAATTGAACTATTTGAAATCAAGAGAAGAAAGATTGAGAGATACCAACGAATCTACTAATGCCAGAGTAAAGAACTTTTCATTTTTAGTCATTACCGTATTGGTATCATTAGGTTTATTCCAAATTAATTACTTGAAGAATTATTTCAAGGCTAAACATATCATTTAGGATACTCGAGGTTCATATGAATTCAGATCAATTAGAGCAAAATATAATAAATGAATAACCGGGGGTTTTCAGAGAATAGCATTACTATCTCCCATTTTATTTTCTCAAAACAAGTAATTCTATTTCTATTAATTAAAATCTTTTTAACAAATATATATATATATAATTATAACTATAATTAAGTAACCCACTGCCTTCAAATATTAATATATATAATTATATATCTAAATGTATCCATCCGTCTTAGTCTTATTTATTAACTAGAAGCTTAAGTATCCAAGTTTACCCAGGATGTATGCTAAATCAATATATGTCATGTAAACTCTACTGCCTGAAGTGGCTACTGACAGCATCTCAACAATGCCTGTTGATTTATCCATCCCTACAGTAGCTGATAATTTTTGAAGGTCTTTAACGCTCAATATATGATTCTTTAATTGGACATTGGGATATTGAATTTCTCTTCCACTTTGTGTGACCAATAGTTTCCAAATTGTGTCAATTGTCTCTTCATTATCCATAAATATTAATATATGAAATGTATGTTGTAGAAGTTTCTCAAAATCAATGACCTCTGTTGATTCAATACAAAGATCTTCTGGTCGTAGTTTAGAGTACAGCTCTTTGGGGAGTTGAAGATCATCGAAGTAGTTATTCAAATCATCTTTTGTCATATCTTTTTCAATACTATATTTTGCAAATGCTTCTAATATCTCATCTTCAATATCCTGTGGAATCGAAGCTTTCATAAACTTTTCCACTTGTTGATACGTCAGTTTGCTCATTATACTTTAATTAGATTCTTGGATTCCAGTAGTATCAATGTGCCCTGTGTATATGATCCAAGAAGCATCAGTCCTTTCTATTTATAAGCTCTAACTGTTGAAATTAAGATCATCAGATGTTATTGAAGTATGATAAATTTATATCCAAGTCATCGCGACTAAAAGATGTTGTTCATTTCAATTTGACCATGTATAAAGAATACAATTTCATCTAGGGATTACGATTAACCAATTTAGCAAGAGTTTCTCGACTCCTGATGGAGTCATACCAAAATTTATTTCAAAAGAATTAACTTTTATTTGATTAATTATGTGATGCCTTCCAAGATATTGATTGATTCAATGGGATGATTCAAAGTAAGGACGTTGACTAGATGGAAACGAAATTCCAGGTCAAAACATATTCTAATATGATGCATTTGGTTTTAGATTCAAATTACTTAAAAATTGATCGTTATAGATCAATTGATCAAGAATTTGCATTTTTTCACTTCATGCTAAATTTCTTCGAGTATTAACCCAATTTACCAACAGAAAAGTAGGATAATGATTGGGAATTGTCATTACTTGTGAATTCGACCATCATCGATCCTTATATAGATACTTGTGATAGTCTATATCAGCGTAATTCAACTATCGTTGACAGTTTCTTGTCTTTATTAACTTCAACCATATTAAAAATATCGTGAAAAAAAATTTTTTGTTATAAGGTACCGTACACTTTTAAATAAGATATTTATACTTTTACAAGTAACTAAAATTGATTTAAGATTAGTTTATTTATTGTAATAAGGAGGTCGATAGGTCAACGATCATTGGATTGGAATTGTCCTTTTAAAAGTATATTGTGTGTGAAATTTTGTTTTGTTTGAATTTGTTATGTCTGTTATAGCTGGGAGTGAAGTAATAACTGCTGCTGATGGCACGAAAACTTTGATAACTTATGTTATTGAAGGTAATGAAAGGTATAAGATTAGTCAGAATTTCAAGGAGATAAATGTTTTGGAAAGAGTAGATCCAGTAGTTGATGCTAGGAAAAAATGGGCTAAGTATGGCGCTGAGGCTAATTCTCCACCAGGTCCAGGTTACGATACTACCAACCCAGGGGAAAATGTTACATTCATTTTATCAAAGAACTGGAGGGAATTGACAGAAATAGAAGAGGCCAATAGACTTAAAAAGAATCCTAAAGTTTATATTTCATGCAGGGCCTGTTCCCAAAACCATTACACTTTTAAATGTCCAACGCTTAATAAGAATGCTTCCCAAAACTGAATGGATTCATTTTAAGATCAGGAAAAAAAATAATTAGAGGATATTTACGTTGGTTAATCTTCTCTAATTTCAGTTCCTTGTTTAAGACCAATGATATGGTATGAATCTGTCGATACTGGTACCTTGAAAGTTCTAGAATGGGGTTTCCTTTCTAAGTTAATTGAATATCGTAAACTTTCTCATCTCACCCCCCTATTCTTTAGGGTCGATACTGAGCCATAGCTAGGACAAGCTATAAATGAATGGAGAAAGTGTTCTAACAGTCTTCTAATCCGAATGAAGTGTAAGTTAGACTTTAGGTTCACATTTAAATTGAATGAAACATATATAATTACAAAGTTTAATCAGTGACGCATTGAAAAAGGGGATACTCAATTAATGAAGCTTCAAAAGTATAAATACATAAATTGAATTGTCAAAATATAGCTAAATCTTTATCAAAATTATTAGTCTACGTTACAGATCATTAGAAGAACAAGGGTATTTTGGTCAAGTTTTGTTGTTTAATGCTAGTATTTTAACGGTGATGATAGCAGATTTATTCAGGATATTATTGATCTCTCTTTAGCCATACCAAAATATACAAATCTAAAATGCCTACTGATATAGATATATATATACCATGATATTAACCATGTGTACTTATTTTAGATTGATCTGTTTAGGTATATTTGTATGTACGTAATTAACAAACTTGATTTTTAATATATTTAGTATTTAATAATCAACTACAAATTTGACTCTGTGTGTTTTACTAAAAAAATGGACTAGTGACTTACGATCTACAAGGTGAACATAAAATGAATGATCCAACTGACACACTTTATCACCAAACTGCTATCCATAAGTTAGCAGAAATTGGTAAAAATTGCAAGCATCTAGGAATCATATTCATTCATGGTGGTGCTTGGGTAGACCCTTTAAATACATCAAATGATTTTAAAGGAATTGCTGGTGAAATCAGTAAAGTGATTGAAAATAACAACACTCAAGGTTTTAATATTTCAATGTTTGGAATTGAATATAGATTATCTCCCAGTGTTAAACACCCAATTCATATAACCGATGTCATCACTAATACATATAAATTAATTAATGAATACAAAATTGACATACTGTATATAGTAGGACATTCTGTAGGAGCAACCCTTGGATTGCAACTTGCAACTGATAATAGAGATTATTTAATTAAGTATTCATCTCAATTGCATTTAATTAGATCAACAATACAAGGTTTGTTCTTGCTAGATGGCATATATTCTCTTCAAGAATTATTGAAAGAATATCCAACTTATGATTCCTTTATCTCTAAGGCTTTTACCAACTATGAACTCGAGTTTCAAGATCCAAAGGAGTATTTAGATAAAGAACAACAATTTATCAAAAATCTCTCTTTTTATATAATACATTCCTTCCAAGATGAACTGTTAACTCTACGTCAAACTGATTATTTAGTTGAATTGCTAAAGGCTAAAGAAATATCATTCAACTTGTCAATATCAGATTATGGACGCCATAATGACGTATATATAAATGATAGAGTCGCAAAATTGATTATCTTTAACATATTATCAAACATCAATTGAGTAGTGTCAGTGGCTCTTAATTACTATATATCTCTTATATTTAATATATATGATGACAATAATAATACAAAAAAGACTTTAATGAAACTTGTATCTATTAAGACAATGCATACTATATAACCTTTATGAAATTGTGTATAAAAAGTATTAATTCTGTTTTCTAAACATCAAATTTGTCGATTGTTAATTTTGCTGTTTTCCAAGCTTTTAAAGATTCTTGAATCCAATGGACTATTGATTTGGTAAAACCTTTTAATATCATATTCCAAGTTGAATCTAAGTACAATGACAAATTTTTTAAACTTGTAGAAGAAGATTTGTTTATTTCTTTCATATCTTTGCCGATCAACTTGTAGCAATCATTTAATTTTTCTATTTCTTTCTTAAGCTGATCAACTTCATCTTGTCTTTCTTCTTCAGATAATAAATGTGGTTCAACCTGGCCCGTTTTAATTGAATTCTTGTATTTCTTTCTTTCCTTATTACCGCTAGATTCAGTACGTGACATGTCTGTATTATTGTTATTTTGCGATGAATCTGCATCCTCCCATGAGATTTCAGAAGAGTTTTGAGCCTTTTTATTGAGTACTACGCTGGACATAGGTAAAGTATCAATACTACTATTATTATTTTTTTTCAATACTTCTTCAATTCTCTTAAGCTGTTGCTCTGTATCCTGTAGTATTTTAATTCTTTTCTCCTTTTTTGCTATTGTTGATCTTATAATATGATATTGAACTTTTTTCATATCCCTAAAACTAATTACCCTTTCAGCATCTTCCAATAAATATAACATTTGTTCTATTGGTTCATCCAACAAAGCTAAAATATTTTCAATAAGTATTTCAGAACTAATATAATTAACATCATATGCATGTCCAATTTTTTCAATACTATTTGACAATAATCTAATCTTATTATCTAGAGCGTTTCTTGATATTGAATTTTCTTCTAAACTTAATCCATTATAGTATGCACCTAATTCTGCTAATGATTTCGATAATAACCTAAAATGGTGTCTGTTCTGAGTAATGCTCTTATGCAAAGTTTGTAAATAAATCTTATATTTACAATAATATGTTTCGAAATCTTTAAACTCTGCTTCAATAGTCTCTTCATCTCCAACAGTAGAATATTTCATTAATTCAACCTTAGAATAAGATAGTGGGACAGGAAGTAATAGGTGTAATGGACTTGGTTTTGTTGGATTTAATGGAGGTGCTAGTAAATTATTTGCAGGTAAAATATTAATTGGAGGTGAAGTCAATACATCTTTCCATGCGTATTCAGGGTTTAAGAATTTTTTAAATACAATATGTTCACGAATTTCTTGAACCAGATAACAATGGTTTAAAAACGTTTGCAACATTCTTTTCCTTTTCCCAATAATCTTTTTATCACTTTCTGCGTTTATTGGGTTCAAAAAGTACTTTATCAAAGGATGTTTCAAAGGGATAGGAGGTATAATGACTGTTGGCAATAGTCTCACTAAAGCTTGTCGTAGGGAGTCAAATTCCGAATAACGTCTTATAACTTCTATTTCATTATAACGAATAGTATAACCAATAGCATGCTTCCCCCAAGGATCTCTGTAATCACCAGCATTAACGATATCTATAGCTGTTAAAGAATCTGTATTTGGGATAGAAATATTAATCATAGACATCGAAAGAGCTACATAAGATTCGAAATTCGAGGGATCAATACTGGAAGTATTATTATTATTATTATTATTATTATTGTTATTATTATTACTATTATTAATATTTAATTTTTTATCATTATCTTTAGGGACATTAATACTTTTTTTATTATTACTTTTATTATTACTATTTCTACTACTCATCCTCGTAGTATCACCATCATCAATATCATCCACTTCACTTTCATCTTCAGGCAGTTGTTCCAATACATTCAAACCATTTTCAATTTCATTTATAGTACCATCATCAGACACTGCAGCAATACCAGAGGCATATAAATGATCAGTGCCTGCAAAAGGATTATTGTTCTCCTCGTCTGAATCACCAAATATATTCATAACAGGATTTAATATCGACCTTGCTTGGCTCAATACTCCCAAAATATCTTAATAAAACTTTAATTATACTAAAACTTCAATTTATTTTAGTTATACTCGAAGACTTCGTTCTTCACAATTTTAGCATTCCTAGTTATTAGCAATAACACTAACCTATCAGTAATCCTTACCAACTCACGATAATGAACAGATTAACGATATTAAAATGATCTTTGTCCTATATATACCCTAGTTGTATATACATAAAACTGATGATAGTTTGTTTAAAAAGTTCAACTTGCTTGAGTTTGTCCCGGTATCCAAATCAATCGATGTTTGTCTCTCTGGTCTAATATATCACAACTCTTTCTAAAATAGATATACCAATTAAGCTGAAACTAATACTTAGTCTCAAGATGATATGTAAATCTGTATAAGTTAGTATTGATAGTTGATGTTTCCGATTTGTTTGGATTGATTCTTCAATTTCCCTTTACATTCTAGAGATTTTATAAGGGTAATAATAAGGGCGCTACCAAAGTGGTGATAATTGGCGAGTATATCAAAATTTAAAGAATTGAAATCTTTTAAAGGTCCAACCAAGTAACTTCCAATGGTTAAAATGGAATTGGAAAAAGGTTACTGGAAGCTTTATTTAACGATATCGTTCCGTATATTACTAGTTCTGTGATTATTTGTGGTTTTTATTGTGGTTTTGAAAAGTTTTAGAGACCAGCGGGAAGAAGAATTTAAGGTGTTATAATATACAACTTCAATTCCTTTTTTTTATTCTTTATTTTGATTATTGCACTAGTTTGAGATTTTATTGAATAAGATGAGTTCTAATTCCAATTTGACCCCAGTTTTGAAGTCGTCAGATATCTCTGATGAAATAAAGGATGAGATCTTCAAGATAAGTTTAGATGCTGTGGAGAAATACCAGCTGGAACGTGATCTTGCCGGAGCTATTAAGAAGCAATTGGATGTTAAATATGGTAATACTTGGCATGTAATTGCCGGTAAAAGTTTTGGAAGTTATGTCACTCATGAAAAGGGCCATTTCATTTACTTTTACATCGGTCCAACTGCCTTCCTGGTGTTCAAGACTGCTTAAGATCTCACAGGAAGTCCCAATTGGGTTTCCTTAATTTTATATGTCTAACCCTCTATTTGAAGAATGCATTTTATTTTATTTTATTTAATTATGGATGTGCATTTATAAGCTATGACACTATTGAACTTATGATAAAAATTCTTTTCAAGATTTATTTTACAACTAAAGAAACAATAAAACAAAAAAAAACGGGGGGAGATTAAATTTGTTATCTCGAATAGAAATAAGAGTTTTTCTATTATTCTTATTTATAAATATCTACTGTAGCTTCGAATTTATCCTTGTTCAATACAAAGTTATTATATAATTTAGCGTCATTTAATTTTAATTGTTCTAATCTACCAATTAATTTTGCATCGATCTTTTTAGGATCTTTTAGTTTAATTTCAATTGCAAGGATAACTTTCATTAATTGAAATTTTTTGATCTCACTATCAATTAATAACTTTCTCATTTCTGATGATAAATTTGCCCTATTAATGAAATTTTTCTCCAAAAATTTATTCTCAAGTTTAAGATTATTTAGGATGTACTGTAATTCTAATGATGAATTTTGATCTTTTTGCAATTTATTAACTTCAATCTCCATTATTCTTAATTGTTTTTGTAAATTATCTAATAATGTTGTATTAGAATATGTATTAATTATTGAATTGGTTTTAATCGTTTGAGCAATGTCTGCATATCTTAAGGTAGACGCAGATTCTTCAAAATTAGTTGGTGAAATACACGCTATAATACACGTTTTACTATTACCACCTAAATTATCTTTTAAAATCCATGTTAATAGTGATTCTCGAAATGGTACAACTATATTATGTGCAGAACTATTACTATTACTATTATATTTCAGTTCTTCTCTTTTCTTCAAACTTGTCAAAACTCTTCTTAGTGTACTTAAAGATTTATTGATGCTGTTTCCTTCTTTTAATCTATCATTATGACAATTCTGAGTGGCAGTAGACCTTTCACTTCCTGCTAAATCAACAAATCTACAAATTGAGTCAGATATTATTGAACTATTGGTATTTAAATCAATGTCTGTTCGTTTTATGGTAATCGAAACAATTGCATGCGATCTACTTGAATTTACATTCATATTAGTCGATCTAGTAGTTCTATTTCTAAATCCCATCTTGACACATTTGATCATTTGATCAATATTACTAACTTCAATTTCAGTGATATTCTCAATATACATGCTTCTATCTCTGTTCTCCCTTACACGGTATTTTGAACAAGATTGGACTTCATTCATCTCTAATAAGTCAATTATCTGTTCATTATAAATTTCAAATATTGAACAAACTACTTTATATTCACTTCTCTGAGACAAATCGCTACTATCCTTAATTTTAATACTTTCAATTTCGTGGAATAAATCTTCACAAAATCTTGGTATTACACCTCTAGTATCATTCTTAGATTCACCCATCATGGTATATGTCTTCCCACTACCTGTTTGTCCATAGGCAAGTATACAGCAATTATAACCATTTAATGCATCCTTGACAAAATGATTTATAGAACCTTTATAAAATTCACTTTGAGAGTTTATCTTACCAAAACCTTCATCAAAGCATTTATCAAATTTAAATATCTTCTCTTCTTTATTCTCAAATGAACTCCTAATAAATGTGGTCTGACGTTTTGGATTAGATGACAGTAATATACTGTCTGTATTAATTACTTTACAAATTGCTCTGTGTCTACGACTTTCATCCCTAGGAGCTACTCTAACATAGACGCTAACTCTATCTGGCATGTCTATTAATACTAATTGGTATTCGGTATAATTACTGTCATCATATTATTAACTGTTTTATATTTTAATTCCTTTCTGTCATCATCATTGTACCTTCTTAAATTCAATTTTGTTCACGAATTTTTAAATGACATTAATTGAAAAATCTATTGAAGTTGCTTCAAAAGCTATTGATTTTAGATTTATATATATGAAATTATAAAATATTTAAAATATTGTTTCTGTATCTAAGTGTATGTTTATATATATATAAGTCATATAATACCATAAAATATCATATAATATCATATAAGGTCCTATTTACTTTTTTGAGTTTTAAATTATTGAATTAGTTTTACAGTCTGATGTTAATGTAAAGTAAAATACATTGATTCTAAGTTTTAAAGTATTAATGTCAGTCATTTGACATTATACTGAAAATGTCTGTTGTAATATTGACTCGAAGAAACTCCTACTATTTTTCCAAATCAGTAGTAGACTCGTCATCAGTGTCATGTGTACCCATGGATGAAACGTCATAGCCTTGACTTTGTAGGTAACTAACGAATTTGGCATCTTCATCAAGGACACTTTGAGGATCTAATGCTGGTAACAAGAAGAAAGCTAAAACAGCAGAGAAGATACACAATGATGAAGAAACGTAGTATGGAGCCTGTAATCCTGATGTGGTGTCAGCACCACCTGCATTATTAATAATGATTGGGAAAATGTAAGTACCTATAAAAGCACCAACTTTACCTATAGCAGCACTGATACCATAGACTTGACCTCTAATTGGAGAAGCATTGGCCTTGGATGCAATACAACCAATATTGTCACCAGCAGAGAATTCACCCAAAGTAATGAAGACACCATAAATGACAACAAAACCTGCGACGTTCTTTTTCAAGTGTTCTAAGGATCCAGCCATAGCAAACCCAATAATTGCTTGAACGATTAATCCAACAGATAAAGTCAATCTGACACCAAAATAGTCAGCGAATAAAGCACCTAAGAATGCACCAGGCAAATAAAATACGTTAAAGACAACGTTCCAACCAAGGGTTTGAGTTAATGGGGGTTCTTTACCGATAATGGCTTCAATGATTAAGGAAGAATAAGTACCAAATGCATAAGTAGAGAAATCATAGACAAACCAAATTAGACCAATAACTAATGTTCTAAACCAGTAAAATTTAAATACTAGCCAGTATGGAGGATGCGAAGCAAATTTTGTCTTTTTGAAACTTTCAGCTTCTTTAAATTTTAATCTCATAAAGAATAATGATATTGGAGGGATTGCACCTAGACCAATAGTTAATCTCCAGACAGGTGACAGGTTATTTTCACCAAATATCCAAACCAAAACCAAAGGAACAAAAGCTGCGACAACGAAACCAAAATCAATCATAAAATTAGTAAACCAAATAAACCATCTATTTCTCTTGTCTGCAGGTAAGGAATTTGCAGCTTCAGCAGCAGCAGGTGAGCTACTACTATATTCACTACCAATTGCGATACCTAAAAAGAATCTATAAGCTGTAATAGCAGCGAATAAACCACCAGGAACTGTGTTTGAAGTACCGACACCCCAAGCACCAGCACATAAGATGGAAAATAAAATCAACATTGAGGTACCCAAAAGCATGGCAAATTTACGACTATAATTATCAGCAAGGTGACCAAAAATTAATTGACCACATACAGTACCTGCAAATGCAATTGAAGAAACATTCTTAATAGCGTTTGAATTTGTATAGCTGTCACCATAGATTCTTTTCAAACATAAAGAGACAGTACCAATTGAAGCATTAATATAACCATCAGAGAATAAACCAGAACCGGAAGTAATTAAAGCCCAATAATTTGGTTTGAATCTTGAATTACTGCCTTTATCAGAATCACATTTTTCTAATACATGTTCTTGATGGTCTAACTTGTCCTTTGTTGAGGAATTTGATTCAGAATAATCTGTACCTTCGTTTCGTAGTTCAATTGTAGTTTCGTAATTATGATTCTCGTCATTATCAATTGAATCATTATTTTTATTTAACAATTGAATTTCTTTACGTGGATTAACGAACAATTGTTCTTTCCATTCTTGGGCTGACAATGGAATGTCTCTAAATACCGGTTTGGATAAGTGTTTCTCGAAAGATGAAGACATGGCGATTAAATGTAACTGAAATATAGGTATTTTGTAATAAGTGAAACAAAAGTTTTTCAATTCAACAAATATTTAAATCCGTATTTTCGTTGACTCTTGATCTGTCTTAGTCTATGAACTTCAGTAACGCTTGCTGGTTTTTTTATTTATGATTGTAAAATAAGTAAGAGAATTAAGATAAGGAACTTCAAATTTATATTAAGATAACAATAGGATTGGGTTTAAATATAATTTAAAAAATGTTCAAAGATAATAATTTGATTTATTAATTAATTGACCATTAATACTAATTAGCATTTATTAGTTTTTAAAAACGAGACACACGATTTGAATAATTACAATTTAAACCACGTTCTCAGGAAAAATGGTAGTATATATAATATACCATTATGTTTTAAAAGACCTTAATTTGAACTGATTGAAAAAAAAACCATAATATACCAATTAATTAGATGATTGGAATATAATTGACAATCGACTAGTTAAAATCAAGAGGTTTGATTACAATTACAAAAAACATCATGCATAGATAAAAAGAAAAAAAATTATTGCCTAATAGAAAGGTGTTGTTGGTTGCTAGATAGTCAATGATCAATTGGACTATAATGAACAATGTAAATTGTTAAATTCTAATTTCAATGAGAACCTCATCCCATCTAATTGTATTGAATTCAAATATATTAATTAACAAGAAGGCTATTATGACGTCATTTTTAAAAAATTTATATCAAAAATCATATAGAAACTCTAGATAGTTCGAATTCGAAACTGAAAAGAATAAGACCTTGTTGAGAATCACCAGAAGTTTTACAGTAGTGTTTACTGTCATTAAACCGATCGAACTGAATGGTAGTTCAGTGCTGCTTATCTGTATAAACTTAATTATTGTTTAATTTGGTATAGGAGTTAGATTGATTTTAGCAGTACCATCACTGCATTGCAATATTCAAACTTCTCTCATCCCACCCAACCACCCACATCTTGGTCATAAGAGAAACAGAAACAGGGAAAGCATAAGCACAGCAGCTCCTCTTGTCACTGAAGTTATGGGTTAACAACAAGCCAATCGTTATACCCATAAGGTATAGTACCTAGTATATAATGCATTACGTTTTACAGTTGGATAGAAATTTCGAGAGGAATAAGATCATTTCAACAACCATCACATTACCTTGTACGTATACTAAGCAATGCTATTATCTTTTGTTATATCATCTTATAATGCTGTAGGTATAGTGTAGTATATTCCAGAAAGAATGAAATGAAGTGTATTAACTTTAAGAGGAACACTGGTTCCGTACTTCTCTGTCTTTGTTCTTACTGCTATACAAGAACAAGAGAAATGAGTAGTTGGGTTAACCTCTTGTAATGAATGAGTGGGAAAAGAGCAATCAATATTAATTTCAGTAAACCCATGTCATATTTTTAAGTTGTACTCTTCGTACTGCTACTGCTACTGCAACTGCAACTGCAACTGCAACAACTATAACTATAACTATCTTCCCCATCTGGCTAAACGTGTTGGTCATGTTGCTGTTGCTATTGCGGTTGTTGCTGGCTGGTTGGTACAGATGGGAACAGATGCAACCAGCCAACCGACGTTAGCAGAAAAGACTGAAAAAACTTTTCAATCCCTCTAGTCTTGTACCGATTTGTCTTTATGGACATGATCCTGAAGTAACCGACCGAAAGATTCTCTCTTCTCTACTTTCCATCCTCTTCAGTTTTCGAAACAGACTAATTAGTTTATGTAAAGCTTTTGTTATGGTTACGGTATATGCAACCATTAGAAGATATCTTTAGTTGTTTTAAAAAAAATTTATCAAAGGGAACTAAAATTTATTGGTTATGTAGACTAAAGAGACACATCGGCCAATATATTCTCTATCCATAGCATTGCACATGCTCTGAAGCATATTATATAGTAATGTATAAACAATATGGTCAATATATTCAAATTTACAATATTTCGAGAATTTATGATTGGGCTAGCTCTCTTTAGCCTTACGCCTTAAAATAAGCAATACTATATACATTTTAATTATGTAAAGGTTTGAGGTTTGCTTGCATAACTAGAGGTTCCTAATCCCTTAATTGTGAAATTACATTTATATGTGTCTCCTTGCATGTGGCTTGATATTGAACAATGACTCTACCTGCCTCATAAATTAACTGAGCTTCATTTTAATCGCTCTCCTTTACTGTAATTGTTTGAGGATTACACGTTCTTGTTAAGATAACTAACCACAACAGTTCGATCAAAAAAAAAATACCATCTTCCCACGTTTAAAGGTGAACGTTTCTAGTCAATTTTTAGCCCATTCACTCATTTATTACTGTCAAGACCAATTGTGTATAATAGTATTCTACTTTATTGTATCCTTATTTTATCTTATATTATTTGGTTTCATGTTCATTAACTATACATTAGTATACAGAATGGATTATGTTACTACAACATCGATCTATATAAATGAAATGGAAGTAAAACAAATTTAAGAGCTGAAGAATAGTTTATGAAAAATGTCATTGAGGTTGAATGAGATTAGCGATATCAAACAAATGGTTGGATATAAATAATAATAATTAGTTCGTAGTATCTGTAATGAAAAATAAAAAACAAGCCAGTATAATATGGTAGTTATTTCATTTTACGGATTACGATTATTTCTTGGAAGACTTTGGTTCTTCGACTAATGGCTTTCTTGCAACGAATAACATCATTGGAGTGAATAACTTAGATTCACCACCAGCAACTAAACCAACAGCAGCTTCTTCCAAGGCGGTAACGACTTTAGAAGAACCTTCTGGAGCTAAACCGATTCTTTCCATGGTAGAAACCATTATATTAGTGAATTTTCTACCAATGTGAGAAGTTCTGAAGAAAGTACCAATATCAGATAGAGTTTGGACGTATCTCCAGTCACCAGTCAATGGGTAATACCAAGGAACTTCATCATCCTGATCAGCCAAATCTTCATCGACAATGATATCAAAACCGACGTTTTTCAAAGCATCTCTTGCTACTTGACATTCAAACATCTTTGGGATACCGTCACCTAATTCAATTTCATAAGCAATTTTTCTATGTTCTGGGTTAGATGCATCATATTTATCAGTCATGACCCATTCGTAAACGGCGAAAACACCACCTGGTTTCAAAACTTTAAAAATTTCACCATAGACACCTTCCAATTTTGGAGCATGGCAAGTAGCTTCGATAGCATAAACTTTATCAAAAGTGTTTGGTTCAAAATCCATATTCATAAAATCACCTTTAACAAAATCCAATTGATCTTGTAAGTTATATTTCTTTGAATAATAGTTTGCCTTGGCGATTTGGTAATCATTATTATTTAAACCAATGACGTTACAACCGGTGAATCTTGCAATTTCTCTTGCTGGACCACCGACACCACAACCTACATCCAATACAAGATCACCTTTTTCAATACCAGCCATGTAAGCTAAATAATGTTCGTGTCTTGCAACAGCAGAAGCAAAAGTTTCACCTTTGTAAAATCTAGAGAAATGGAAAGAAGAACCCCAACCGTATTCATAGAAATCAGTTACGACGTTGTAATAAGAATGAGTTGATTCATTGTAATCTTCCAAACGTTTTTCTTCAGAGGTTTCGTCTGTTCTACCATCCCAATGTTTCAAATATTTAGCAACGGCTTCCTTTTGAGCAGATCTGTTCTTTGATATTAAAGCAGAAATACCAGTCTTGCTACCAATGTCATCACCGTGCAATTCTTTTGTGAATTGAGCTTGTCTTTTCCTCAATTCAGCAGAATCACTTTCATTAATTTTGGAACTCATAGTTGAATATAGGTATTGAGTTTAAGTGAAATTGTTGAAATGTGTGTCAAACTGGGTATGAGAGGTAAAAGAGAAGCCAAGAACCAAAGAAAAAAAGTATACAAGAATATATGAATCACGATAGCAGCAGTAAGAATGAATCAATTGACATACATATAAATATATATATATATATTTATATTATGATATGGATGAATATGATAATTGCGTTTAGAGAATCTTGATACAAAATTTCGAAACTAGTTAAACAGTGGGCAGATGGAAGAGAGAGAGACATACACACACAGGCAGACAAGAATCGTAATAGAGAGAGAGAGTGAAAAAAAAATTTATTATCAAGAACACCAATCGATCACTAAGAATCACAGAGAGAGAGGTATAGTGACGGGACAATGAATTGATAGAGAGGGCATTAAGTGTGTAGATAATAAATAGTATTTCTGAAGCATATAGGAGCACCAAAGCGAGGCAGAGAGAAGCAAAAGATACGAGAGAAACTGATGCAATTGTTCGGAACCAAGAGAGCTCATCGATGAGGAAACCCAAACTGAAGTGATGCGATTGAATAGAAGAAGTGAAGTGAAGTGAAATAAAGTGAAATAAACAAATATTGAGTTAACCTACATTAAATTGAACCAAACTGAACCAAACTGAAACCAGATAACTGCTGCAAGTAACAAACAACACTGTCATCACCACCATGATGAGCAAGACAGTGCCTTGCTTAACTTCTCTCATAGTGAAAAATTTTTTTTTCATCCCAATGCACTGCACTGACAAGAAAAAAGAGAACGCAAACGAGACGGCGTTCGAAAGTGGATGGGGGACGTATACGAGAGAGATGGGAAACCAGTTCGAAAGCAGTTTGTATCTCTGGAAGACAGCAAGAGACCAAGAGACCAAGAGACCAAGAGAGAAGGCATCCTTCCATTCGATTAGAACAAAGTTAAATAAAAAGAGTGAGATAGCTCAAAACCAACAGCCCATTGGGATTTATAGATCTTGCAATGCGTTGTATGTTTGTAAGTGAAAGTGTGAGTGTCATGTGCTCTACCATCAACTAAAACGAGTAATCTGGTCACGTATCTGTCCGTGTAAACTAAACTGTCTTGGATTCAGTCCCAACTTTAAATCTACCCAATATGGCAGTACTTATCCCATCTTGTTGTCTTCTGGTCTCTCTTGTTGGATATACATTCTTACGGCAAGCTCCTTCTCTCTCTCTCTTTCTTTCTCTCTCTCTTCCGTCTCCTTCCTCCCTGTTCCCTTCTCCCCTGGCCCCAATGGCTAGCTGGACCTTCCGTATTGCAATATTTTGTAATATATTCACTATCCATTATTAATTATGAATTATGAATTATGAATTATAGATTATAGATTATGGATTGTAGATTATGGATTGTAGATTATTGACTGAACTAGTTCAATATTTATTTAACAGTTTGGTTTTTTATACACATCACCTTCTTCAGATCCATTGTTTCTATAACGTACTTCAAATTTGTATTGTATATTGGTATACACTGTATGCTATATTTACTATCTTCATTTGCTTGTCTATCCCATTGATATTTGGATAAAAAAATATACTTTGTTGGCATTTTCACACAGCTCATCATCATCATCTTCATCATCATGGATGCTAATAATGATATCGACTTTATGGATTTTTTGACTGAAAGCAGCAGCATTGATAGTAGGAAGAATTACCTCAATCTCTCTACAAGTAACAAGATTAGGAAAAATGATATAGATGCAGAGGCAAGAATAAGAAGGACTGCTCAGAATAGAGCTGCTCAACGAGCCTTCAGGGAAAGAAAAGAGAAGAAAATGAAAGAACTGGAGAATAAAGTAAATTCATTGGAAAATATACATCAGAAAAATGAAGTCGAAACGGAATTCCTCAGGTCTCAGGTCTTAACTCTAGTCAATGAATTGAAGAAATATAGATCAGAAACTACATCCGATTCAAAGATTTTAAAATTAGTATCAAACTCAAGAGAAAATACAAGAGATCTCAGACATGATAGTATCACATCATTGGATTCTGACCAATCCCCTCTAAATGATATATCGAAATTCAATTTAAATTTAGGTCATATAAATTTAAGCAATTCTCCAAACTCCTCCTCAATAATGTCTTTATCTCCAACAGCAAGCAATAACTTACCAAATGCCTCAGATAGTGGGCTTTTCTCAAATGATTTCAACTTTAATAACCAATTCGACGAACAAGTGTCTACTTTCTGTGCAAAAATGAATAATAACTTCGAAAATCGTAAAAAAATTATTAAAAAGACCTATGATGAAAAGATAAAATTGAAATCTGAGTTCAGCGATGTGAATAGTGTCCTGGCTTCCCCATCACTTTCTTCTTCTCGCTTCTCAGATGACAATAGTTCAACATATTTCAATACTCGTCACCACCATAACAACGATCACAACAATACTACCACTACTAAAAATCACAATTACAATAATCAATCGATGAAATCTGAATTCCCTCCTCTCATCTTCTTTTCAGATAATAACTACATGGATTCTCCTGACAACAGTTTCCCGTTAATTGATGCCTCGTTGGCTTTCCCAAATAACAGTAACAGTAACAGAAATAATAATAATAATAATAATAATAACGTACTCTTCAGAGATATTAGCACTGCAGAGATGCAATTCATGGATGAATCGCCATTACAAAACGTCGAATTCAACTCAGAGGATGCGATTAAAAGGTTAATTTCAGAAGAACCTTCCCCACATTACAGCAACAGCGTGCCACATCTTCATAACAACAATGTAAATTCAGCGAGCTTACATCCTCTGACAGTGTTGGTGCAAGAACCAGATGATGAATTGGATGAAGATGTAGTGGTGCCATCCACAGATTCACAATTAATGAGATGTTCGGAGATTTGGGATCGTATAACTACTAATCCAAGATATACAGATCTCGATATCGATGGGTTATGTGAAGAGTTGATGTTCAGTGCCAAATGTTCAGATAAAGGTGTTGTTGTTGCATCCAAGGACGTGCACAAAGTTTTAGCAAAGCATATGGCATAGGCAAAAACGTGTAAACGTTAAACAAACTGAGACAACCAGGATACCAGAAACACAGAAATGTGAAAATAATAAAGAAGGGTACCGATTAGTTGGTTTAAAACAACATATATTAATTTATGAGAGACTTGACGTTATTATTGGTCTCATAAATTATTCCTGGAATGAGTAATGAATTTTATAAAACAAGAGAGACTTTTTTTTGGTACTAACAACAAAAAGACATTTAGAATATATGTGAATGTATGTGTGTTTGTTTGTATATATTTATATATAAATATATATGTATATAAAGCTAGTTGATTGATTGACGATGTTGATTTGAGTTTATAATTGCGTTGCTTAAATCATTAGATCTACAATTTTTTCATCACATACATGAATAAAGAGATTTGTACTATTATAGTTCTATTTATTCATCAGTGAATTTGTAATGAAGCTTAGCTGTTTCTTGCCAGGGTCCAGCCCAGTGTGCCATGGAACTCCCTACCACTCTTGGGTAAGACACGCCTGGCCAGCAAGAGCCAGAACAGAGTAAGGTAGACCTTTAAGTTTAAGTTCACCCCACCACCTAAGGCACACTTGGAGGCTGGATGAGTAAGGGGCAATTGGACTTAGAACTAATAGTTTCTTTCTGTCTGTCTTGGATGGAAGAAGCAGAAAATTTTTCATTCAGTCCAGAGAGAGAGCAAGGACAAATTACACTTGACAGGCAAATTTGTCCTATGACAAATTTTTCCAGATTCCCTCTTTCTTCCCTCTTTCTTCTCTCACACTTTCCCATAGTTAACAGCAATTGCAACCTTAGGTCACTTCTGCATCTCTTTAGGTACCTTATCTGGTTCCAGTCGAATGGTTCTCTTAACTACTATCAGTCGCACCAAGTGCAAGTGCAAGTGCAATTGTAATTGCAAGAACAAGACCAAGACCAAGCAAGAAAGAACAAAAGATTCATCCATCCTCCATCTACTGGGAATAGTTCTTGAGTTCTGTGTGGTTGCTGGAAGTTCTTGCTTCCATCCAGTCGAGTCCACTTAGAAGCGTTATAGAAAGGCTTGATCTCTCGTCAGACAGGGGCTAGCTAGAGGTTCTTTTATGTATTCTTATGGTTCTGATACTCTAGCAAACAGTTATTGTAGAAGCTGGAATAAAAATATCTGTTACGTGGATGTTTTCTATGACCAGGTTTGAGGTGAACAAATTTGTCTATTTGTTTTTTGATGCATCTAAGGGGCATTCTTATCATCTATATAGGACTTTATAGCCTTGTATCTCTGTAATTTGTTCATATATTCATTCATTCATTTGAGTTGTTTTTATAGTTGTTCGTTGCAGGCACAGCAAGAATTCGTCTTTACGTTAATATTTATAATCAATCCCATTGCAAAATATCATTCATCATCTATCGTCCATCATACATCATCATTCACTTACTCCATCACTAGGTTTAATGTATATCCTCTTATTCTTGTAGGCTTTTTATCGTAGTTGTCCTCGTTGTTATTGTTGTTCTTGTTGTTGTTGCAATAGCAGTGGCTCATATTCATTGCATTATAGAGAAGGATTCTGAGAACTGAGGTGGGTTTGGTCTGGATTGGATTAAACTACTTCTAATGCTGGATCAAAAAAAAAATTTTCTTCCCCCACCTTCTTGTTGCTTATATAGATTACTGACACATCTATCTATATAACCTACCTTTAATGATGCTTATAATGATGAGGTTGTCGATACTTTGAATATCTATATTTAAAGATAGGTTCGATTATAATGTGGACTTGTTTATTACAGGTCACACGCATCACGCACTTATTTGAGAATATTTGATCTGGTTACTGTTTCATAACTTTGATATTGCATCTCTGTCTATCTATATCTTCTATATATAGATATATATATATATACTTTGGAGTTTCAATAAACCAATAGGGGTTGGTAAGGTGGATTTGAATGTATTGATTGAAATGGGAAATCATCTTTCTATTGGTGCCAGACATACCAATTACATTAGTGATGGTGATAATAGCAATGTCCTAGGATCAAATTCATTAAATGACGATGCTCTGTTCAAACAGAGACAAGGTAGTATTAGATCTGAATTATTCACCAGTAGAAATAATTCAAACAGAAATAAGATTTATTCTGAACTAGCTGCAAGAAATAATCTAACCACTATTAACAGTAGCAATACAAATGTTAAAGAATCACTGTTTAAAAAGGACTATTCGATGGGTAGACACCCAAATACTGTCAACCATGTAAAAAATCGTGTTGATTTCACTAGAAATTCAAGCAATGAGTATTCTTCAAGTTCTCTATCTTCAAATACTGACAGTGCTTATACACCTTCGTTTTTCTCTTTGGGTCCTTCAACTGCTACTGTTGAACAATCTACTGAAAAGGTAATAAGGTTGGATGAACAACATCATCCTCATCAAAATCTTGCAAGCAAGAAAGATATCGTGATAAATCATGAACATAGACCTAGCATCTTAGCTTTAAAGCAAAATTTATACGAAAGCAGTAGTGGTGTTCCACTCTATGACTCTCAACCTTCGTCAGAAGTCCCATCTGAATTACACTCTCCAAGTACTAGATCTTTTGAAAGACAAAAATCTGTCTCAATTGATATCCCTCAAGATAATAGCAATAAAAAAGATCTTAGAAATCCAATTTTGATTAATCTAGAATATAATGAAAGGAATAACAAGAATGAATCAAACTTTCAAAATGAAATTCAACCCAATAACTTGAATGTCAACTATAACAATAATGGTAATAGTAACAATTATTCAGCTGATGAGGATATGGTCTGGAATCAATCTCTTCTTAATGGGTTAATTACAAGCAATAATGATTATATTGATAATAATATCAATAATAAAAATTTTAACTTGAACCACCATAAATATCCAAAGTTTGAAAATTCAATCTCACCAACTTTTAACGACTCAAATGATGGAAATGTACATTACGATGGTAAGCAACATTGTAGCGGTACAGAGGGTTATCATTTTTCAGATAAGAAAACTAGCAATATTGTAAATAGAACTCAGTTTTCTTCACTTGCATCAAAACAAATATCATATAGAAATTCATCAGCATTTTCATCAACATTTTCATTAGATCTAGGATCAGAAAATGTTCGTGTATTTTTGAAATGGAGAGATCTAATCGATGACATAGAAAATGCAAATATATCCATAGTCAGTAATGAAATTTTGTCAGTTATTTGCATGAATGATTTGGACTCGGAAAATAGCGATAGCGCTAGAATGGTCTATTATCCAGATACTTCAGAATGGGTCACAAAGTATCTTTTCCTACCCCCAGGTATTTATAAGCTACAGTTTAATGTAAATGGTTCCCTACGTCATTCTGACTATTTACCAACGGCTACAGATAATTTAGGTAACATTGTTAACTGGTTTGAAGTACCAAGAGGTTATGAAAGTATTGAACCATTTAGAGATAATGATTATGTTAAAAATGAAATATCTGGAGGTATCCTTCAACCAATACCAAATACATTGGGTATCCCCTCGGTATCTTCACAATTGTCATCCTTCTCATTCCATGCTAGTAGACCAACTACTCCATATTCTGATTTTGCAGGCATTAATAGGTCAAGTCCTTTGCCACTACGTGAAAAATCTCCTGATGTCAAATCAACTAATTTTGATTTAGAATTCTCAACAGCAGTACCAGAGCCTAAATATGATTATACGACTGAAATTCCAGAAATCTATAAAGCAGTGGATCTGGATCTAACTACTGCAAAGGCCACAGAAACTACGACTGACGATGAAGATATAACCAAACCACCTTTATATCTAGGAACAGGTGGTAATTCGATCTTTAATGATGTGATTGGTTGCAGTCAAAGAGATTTATTTGAAAAATTGAGTAAAAATACTGGCAAAGGACTAAACACTGATGAACTGGAGAAGATATTTTTAGCTAAATACCCAATTACAGACCTACCAATTTACTTAAATACAGATTACATGAATAAAGCATTAGAACAGCATAGAAATATTGTTGGAGTGGATGATGTTATGCAAGAAGAAATTAATGTCGTGAATCACATAGTTCCACATGTTAATATCAAGCATTTGTTAACTCATAATATCCAAGACTCGGTAATTGCCGTTGCATGCACAGTGAGATATGGTGGTAAATTCATCACACAGGTTGTATATTCTCCATGTTCTGTGGAAAATGATGATTAATATAGCATATTCCCAATTAACATTCGTTGCATTTATGAAATGATACACACTTTTTTATAAAAATTCTCCCCTCATAAATAAAGGTAAAGACAGATTAACTAAATGGTTTTACATCATTTAATCACTTGATGTGTTATAAATTAAAAGGTATTCTTTTAAAGTTGCCTATCTGCTTTACAAGAAAAGAAAAAGAAATAGATATATAGCATATATAGCATATTGCATAACTTTTTGAATTTAATGACCTCATACATTAATAACAACTACTTCTAAAGATTTATGATATTTAGTTCATCTGATTCGTAATATATTGGTTCAGTGGTAACCATTGAATCTTTAATATATTTAGCAAGAATCTACTCACGTGATGAGACATCTGACGCGTAAGGATATTTTAATTTAAAATTAAGAGATGATTTAAATAATTTGGCGTTTTTCACGCTGGAGTTATAGGTTTAAAAGATACTTATTCTTGTCTAATCCTGGTGAAGGTATATCAGATATTTGAATATAATCAACTTAGGTACTTAACTAACAATAGTTTATATTGCCAGTTTCTTTTTATTCTAAGAAATACCAGGGATTACAGAGTAGGTTGTCAAAATGTCTATTGGTCTAAAACGTCCTGGTGAGGATGAAAGTAGTGAACTTCAAGATGGTACTATTGATAAGAAAGTAAGATTGCAATCAAAGGATCATGGTGTGGGAAGTGAACCGGTATCGACTATAGAAATCATTCCAACTGATTCATTTCGAAAATTTAAGGAACATGGTTATAAAGCAAAAGGTTCAGATATTCATGGAACTCAAATGGTTTCAACTTTTGAACAAGAATTATCTCAAATGGAGCATGAAATTGCTGAGCTCGATGAACAAAGTACAGAATCTTATCCAAGAAAACCATTAGATCCAGAATTTTCTCCTGAAACTCATGATATTTCGTTTCAACAACTAGATTGTGAAGATAGTTTGCTACCAGGCTCTAAAGATGGAAGTACCTCATATGTTGTTAGATTTTTTGGTGTAACTGATAATGGTCATTCTGTTCTATGTAATGTAACAGGATTTAAACATTACTTATATGTCCCAGCTCCAATGTCTGCAGAATCACCATCCAATGAAGACCTACTGGGTTTTGTCAAGCATATTAATGAACAATTGGATAATTGTGTAGATTCTATTGAAATAGTTGAAAAGCAATCCATTTGGGGTTACTCCGGTGATAGTAAGCTACCGTTTTGGAAAGTATATTTGAAAACTCCAAACATGATTAATAAGGTCAGAACTGGTTTCGAAAAGGGTCATTTTTCTTATAAATCTTGGTTTTCCAATGGTACAACATCATATGATAATATTGCTTATACTTTAAGATTAATGATAGATTGTGGTATAGTGGGTATGTCATGGATCACTCTACCAAAACAAAAATATAAAATGATTCCAGAAAAAGACAAGGTTTCAACATGTCAATTAGAGGTCAAAATAAACTATAAAGATTTAATTTCCCATGCACCAGAAAATAATTGGTCGCACTCTGCACCATTACGTATATTATCATTTGATATTGAATGTGCTGGTAGAGTGGGTGTTTTCCCTGAACCTGAACACGACTCTGTTATTCAAATTGCAAATGTTGTCAGTATTGCTGGCGCCAAGAAGCCATTTATTCGTAACGTGTTCACAGTAGATACCTGTTCTCCGATTACTGGTTCTCATATATTCTCACATGAAACAGAAAAGGAAATGTTAAGCAAATGGCGTGAGTTCATAGTAAAAGTTGATCCTGATCTAATCATAGGTTATAACAGTGCAAATTTCGATTTACCGTACTTGATTGATCGTGCGAAGGCTTTAAAGATAGATAACTTCCCATACTTTGGTAGATTGTTTAATGTAAAGCAAGAAGTTAAAGAATCTAGTTTCTCATCTAAAGCATATGGTACCAGAACATCTAAGGTAGTCAATATTGATGGTCGTCTACAATTAGATTTATTGCAGTTCATTCAACGTGAGTATAAACTAAGATCATACACTTTAAATGCTGTGTCAGCACATTTTTTGGGTGAACAAAAGGAAGATGTTCATCACAGTATTATTACTGACTTGCAAAATGGTGATAGTGAAACAAGAAGAAGATTGGCTGTATATTGTTTGAAGGATGCATATCTGCCGCTTAGATTATTGGAAAATTTGATGGCTTTAGTTAATTATACTGAAATGTCTCGTGTAACAGGTGTGCCATTTTCATACTTACTTTCACGTGGTCAACAAATTAAGGTCGTCTCTCAATTATTTAGGAAATGTATTGAAATCGATACAGTGATTCCAAATATGGCTTCACAGGGAACGGATCAACAATATGAAGGTGCGACAGTCATTGAACCTATCCGTGGTTACTATGACATTCCGATCGCAACATTAGATTTCAATTCTTTATATCCAAGTATTATGATGGCCCATAATTTATGTTACACTACTTTATGTAACAAAGAAACGGTTCAAAGATTAAACTTGAAGAAGGATGAAGATTATATCATCACACCTAATGGTGATTATTTTGTATCAACAAAGTTAAGGCATGGTATTTTACCAATCATTCTTCGTGAACTTATTGATGCAAGAAAAAGAGCTAAGAAAGATTTAAAGAATGAAACAGATCCGTTCAAGAAAAACGTTCTTAATGGTAGGCAATTGGCATTAAAGATCTCAGCCAATTCTGTTTATGGTTTTACTGGTGCAACTGTAGGTAAACTGCCTTGTTTGGCAATTTCTTCATCTGTCACAGCCTTTGGTCGTGATATGATCATGACAACTAAGAACGCTGTGGAAGAAAAATATAGAATATCTAATGGTTACAAGCATGATGCGGTAGTTGTATATGGTGATACAGATTCTGTAATGGTTAAATTTGGTACTTCCGATTTAAAAGAATCCATGGAATTAGGTACTGAAGCAGCTGCATTTGTTTCAGGTCTATTTAAAGATCCTATTAATTTGGAATTTGAAAAGGCTTATTTCCCTTATTTATTGATTAACAAGAAAAGATATGCAGGCCTTTATTGGACGAGGACTGAAAAATACGATAAATTGGATCAAAAGGGTCTAGCTTCTGTCCGTCGTGATTCCTGTCCATTAGTTTCCATTGTTATGAATAAGGTGCTGAAGAAAATTTTAATTGATAGAGATGTTGACAATGCTTTAGCATATGTTAAGCAGATTATTGATAATTTACTGCATAATAAGGTTGATATTTCTCAACTGATTATTTCTAAAACACTGGCCCCTAATTATACAAATCCACAACCACACGCCATATTAGCTGAACGTATCAGAAAAAGAGAAGGTTCTGGTCCTAATACTGGTGACCGTGTTGATTATGTCATTATGGGTGGTAACGATAAATTGTACAATAGAGCAGAAGATCCACTTTATGTCTTGGAACATAATCTTCAATTAGATTCTAAGTATTACTTAACAAATCAGTTACAAAATCCAATTATCAGTATTATTGCACCAATTATTGGTGAAAAGGGTGCCAATTCTATGTTTGTTGTAAAATCTATAAAGATTAACACTGGGAGTATGAAAGGTGGTTTGATGGGTTTTATTAAAAAAGTTGAGTCTTGTAAAGGTTGTAAAGGTCCTTTGAAATCTGGTGAAGGACCTTTATGTCATAATTGTAAATCAAGATCAAGTGAACTGTATATTAAGACTCTTTATGATGTGAGAGAATTAGAACAAAAATTCGCTAGACTATGGACCCAATGTCAACGTTGTTCTGGAAGTTTGCATAATGAGGTTTTATGTTCTAATAAGAACTGTGACATTTTTTACATGCGTGTTAAAGTGAAGAAGGAACTACAAGAAAAGGTTGAACAATTGAGTAAGTGGTAAATTATTTATAGAACATTGATACATTATATTGAAAATAAAGATCTATTTATGCATATATATATATTATTATTAGGCATTCTCGGTATGTAACGTATCGTTAATGAAGGATATTTTTTAATAATTATCTTTTATTCAAATCTTTTATAAACACGAAAGTTCTGAATATGTTTTTGGCATTTTAGAGTCAGTTATTTTTAAACGTTCCATCACTACAGACACAGAATTGCTCTTAATGTCATTGAACCATTCATGATTTATCATATCTTCAATACTATATCTCTGAGCAGGATTTACTACCAGTAGGTTAGATATTAGATGCAGTACTGAATCATTGATTTCATCCCAGTATGGTGAGAAGAAAGCAAATTTTCCTTGTAAAATTTGTTCTTTCAAAGTTGGCGGGCCCAATTGATCACTAAATGGAGGGAAACCACACAAACATACATATAATAATACGCCAGTACTCCATATATCTACTTTTGAAGTGTAACCGGTTTTTCGTAATACCTCAGGTGCAACATATGACGGAGTACCACATAATGTGTTAGTAAATTGTAATTCCCCTGTAAATTTAGCTAAACCAAAGTCTGCAATCTTCACTTGGATATCAATCTCATCTTCGTCCCATGGTCCAGTTTTAATTTGATCATTTGAAGTTCTTCTGGTAATATTTAATAAAATGTTTTCAGGTTTGATATCTCTGTGAATAATATTTTGCCCATGTAAATACTGTATACCAGATAATATTTGTTTAAACAGTGCTTTTGTTTCATTCTGAGAAAGCGAAGTTTTTCGAACAATTCTATCAAATAATTCACCATCATCTATCTTATCTAATACCAGATATTTCTGTATTTGAGACTTACTCAGTGGTTCTACATAACTATCCAAAAGGTTGACAATATTTGGATGGTGAACTCTCATAAGGATATCAGTTTCTTCTCTAAATTGGTGGTTCTTCTTCTGATCATCATTTAATTGAGGATGGAATATCTTGATTGCTACTGATTGTCCTGTTTTCTTATTTCTTCCCTCTTTAACAATTGCATAATGCCCTGATCCCAATTCTTTACCGATTATATATTTATCAAAAACAGATTCTTGTCTGGCCTTTTGCAAATGTTTACGGATCATGCTCTGGCTACTGGTGAACCCAAATAGCGGCTTCTTAAATGCATCCTCATTGGATTTTTCTAATTCTATATTATCACCGTCGCTGTAACTCTGATATTTAAACAAAAAAGAACAAGTCTTACCAAATACTATCCTATCACCGTTTTTTAGCATATAATCCTTCCTTACTAATCGATTGCCATTAATAAAAGTACCATTCCTACTCTTGTCTACAATATTCAACAACTTGCTTTTACCATGTCCAACATCCATCTCCACTAAAAAAAGTTTACAGTGCCTTGTAGATATATCCAATTCATTCAAAGTAACATCACAGGACCTACTTCTGCCAATGGATACTTCATCTTGCTCAGGAATATCTATCTTCTGTTCTTTCCCAGGAATCAAACTCATTAAAGTGGCAAGTGGGTGTTTTCCAGACTTAATATCATCTTGGATATGTTGTCTTTTAGAGACACTAAACTCATCAGCAGAATTTTCCTATCAAAGATTAAGATCAAAAAAGAAGAACATGAACACATCAGTTAGTAATCTGTCTTTTTATCAGTTTTGAATAACACGAAGCATTTAAAATCATATAATTTTTTTAACATACTCTTTTGCTCATTGCTTAACTCAGTGTAGAAAGTGCAACTACCTCTATAAATAAGAACCTTCCCCTAAAGGTAATCAACGAAATCGATAGAGAGCCTTTTATATCTATATAATTCACAAATTGATGACCAAATCGTCCACCAATTGTATCATATCTTCTATAAATATGTTCAATTTATGGGTTGTTTCCTCTGTTAAATTTGGTGATAATTGATCTGATTGAAAGCATACGCGAAACTGTATAGAAATGTAAATAATAACATTGGCAATACGACAACAAACAAACAATAAATAAATAAACAAATAAATAGGCTTAATAGACCTCTCAGTTGATAGAATTGGTTGTCTAACGTTGTTATTGGTGGGTTATTGCAGTTCCAGTCGATTTCCTGTGGTCAGGTTTATATAAGAATGCAACAATCATGGTGATTTTGTTGTACTTCCTAGCTAACGAAGGAATGGAAGATTACGTTAGGTAGAGGATCCAGTTGTGGTACATTTGAAGATTGATTTGGGTATTACCTTCAACTATGGGCTTTATAATAAAGTTTTTAGTTGGGTCTTTTCTGTTCGTTTTGAAGATTTTCATTATGGTGAAAAGCTGTTTGGCCAATCTAACGTTGGAATGCTTTGGGAAGATGAATAACCAACAATACCGATGCACTACTGGTAGCACAGTGGAAATTTAATTTGGGAAATACAGGTAGACATGTAGATATTTCACAAATGTATCAAACTAATAACAAACTAATAACAAACTAATAACTGGAGGCAATTAATTGTATTGTCATTTCCATTTATATTTTTATTTTTATTTTTTTTAAAGAATCCACAACTAACGGGAAAGGGTAATAATGCTAACATATTCAAGATGCATTTGCAATTAAATGGAAAGGATATTGGAGCAATTTTAAAAGAAAGTTCGTTTTATTCATCCCAGCACTACATTGCTACTACCTTTAACTGACTCAACGGTTAATAAGCTTCAGTAGCTCAGTCGGAAGAGCGTCAGTCTCATAATCTGAAGGTCGAGAGTTCGAACCTCCCCTGGAGCACATTTGTTTTTTTTTGGTCCTCTCCTTTTTTAAAGCCCTGGATTTTATCATAAAACATAAATTCAGAGAGATAGACAATAATACTCAAGATTTATCAATAACATGTTTTAAAACTATAAATTAAGTTAAGGTTGAGTTATATTTTTTAACAGGCTACGAAGGATATTGAGGATAGTTTACTATAGGACCCTGGCACTTGAAGGATTCAATTGATTCTCTGCTGTTGCATTATTTTTGGAATTTACAAGCATTTTCAATTGAAAAATCTGGTTTTACAAGAGGTAATTTTAAATTCTTTCTCTGTCTTACAATACCATTTTATTCAACATAGACAATTGGTTTGTTATTTGGATCACTAGTGTTTGGTGATAATCTATTGTGATCTGTTTACTTGTATCATTCGCCTACATATATTGAAGTGGTTTTTTCAGTAGCCACTTTTTGTTAGACTATGATATCTAAATCTTTGGAGTATGATCCCCTGGAAGATATCACAACTATCCTGGCTCATAAGGAATCCCTTGATGACATTGATAATCTGATAGCAGCCACTAAGAACCATAGGATTAATTTGGAAAATGAGGTCTTGGAATTAGATGAAGAGCGTAAAAAATCAGTGGATGGATTGAGTGGGAAAGATGGCATTGACGATTTTGATTTTTTGAATGTCTTTAAAGACTTTGAAGATACTAAAAAATTTGCCTCAGTTACTCAAAATAATATATCTAGGTTAACTGAAGGGATCTCGCATTTGGACTACGCAAAGAAAAATCTCACTCAATCAATGACATTATTTCAAAATTTACAAATTCTAACAGATAGTTACACAGAATGTAAGAAATTATTAGGGAAGAAATCGTTCATTGAACTTTCTTCGTCTTATAAAATTATGTGTTCGATGTCAGAAAATACATTTGCTTCTTACAAATCCGTTGATGAGATTAATAAATTATTGGCATCGATAGCAAGATTGAAAGCAAATGTTTTAGATGAAATTATGAATAGTTATAAAAAGATTCTATCTGGAAGAATTCCTGAAAATAGCTTAATGAAAAAGGAATTGAAAGTTGGTGTTAGTGAACTCTTAGAATCAGATCATGGTTCAAAAGCTCAGGTGATAGATTTTTGTATTAACAAGCTCTTGTATGAAATTACAGAAATTTTTCAAATCGATGATGAAGCAGGCTCTTTAGAAAATTTACCTCGTCGTTATATTTTCTTCAAGAAAATATTGAATAATTACAACTCAAATTTTTCTCCATTTTTTGCAGACACTTGGGAAATTCCACAGAAACTAACCTCGAAGTTCTATTCTATGACTAGAAAAGATCTACAATTATTATTAAAAAGAGAGCTATCTGGCACATCTCCGTCAGTTGATTTATTTATGAATTCTCTTCAAGAAACCTTGGAATTTGAAAAATACATTGATGTTAGATTCTCAAGAAAAATAACAGATGAAAAACTTTCCAAAACTTTTGAACCATATCTATCCTTATGGATTACTCACCAGGAAAAATCAATGAAGGATAAAATATTAGCATACATGAGTGAAAGTAAACTACCAGAAAACCCATCAGATTCATTGGTGATACCGTCAAGTGCAGACTTATTTAGAACGTATCGTTCAGTCTTATCGCAAACTATGGAATTAACCGGCAGCGGTACAAATGACAACATATTGAAATCTTTGGCAAGTTTCTTCTCGAAATGGCTACATGAATATTACGAAAAGATATTAAAACCATTATTACTTCCCCCAAATGTTGAAATAAAAAATAAAGACGAGGCTATTCAATATACAGTTTTACTTGTGAATACTGCTGATTACTGCTCTGTTACTATCAATCAACTGGAGGAAAAATTGGTAGAATTTAGTAAAGATTCAGAAAGGATATCAAAAATTTTTATACCAATTAAGGATTTATATGGGGATATTCTAGCTAGAGGAAACAATTTCCTATTATCTAGGATTGTTGCTCTAGATATGACGTATGTATGGAGAGAGTTTAATAATATCGACTGGTCTCGAATTGAAGTTGAAGATTATAGTAGATATATGATAACATTAGCTAATGTGTTGTCATTTGCTTCTGATTCAGCCACTCTAACTAGCTCAAGTGTCAAGAAATCATCAGTCGAATCAATTGTTACTCAATTTAACAGGGATGTTTATAGTTGGAACTTCCTTGATAAGATTATTGATTTGGTAAGCTATGATTTTGTAGGTTGTATCATTAAATTACTACAACCAGTTCCGCCGTTTGCGTCAACTACCTCTACAAGAAAGCTAAGTGCAGAAAAAATTGTTGTTATAGGTGACCAACTGCTACTAGATGTCTCGAAAATGAAAGATACAATGAACTTGATGTTGGACATGATGTCTAAAAGTTCAATACAGAGTACCTCATTAAACAGGGTTAAAAAGCATTCAGATAACAATATTAATTTATTGACAAGATTTATTAAATTACTTATGGCTCCAATAAATTCACCAGACGACTATCATGAAAATTACAAGACTTTGACAGGTAATAATATAAATACGGCAGTCTGGAGTTTTCTATTTGCATTAAAAGGAGCCTCGTGGGATCTAAATTTCTGGCAACAACATTGGACGGTATTTAATTTAGATCTAGAAAAGGATGATTCGTCTGAGCCAGTTCAAACTAATGATAATTTCATCTTTATCTGGCAACCTGAATTGTTTGCCCAATTTCAAGTTAATCTATTACGAATTCAAAATCTATCATGGACTGATTTTATAAGAAACGAATTAAAAATTACAATGCCAAAAAGAACTGTCGCAAGTTCAAACATAAAATCCTGATCAATTTGATATAAGGTAAATAATATAATGGATAGATTAAGGTATGTACATGAGTGTATATAACCAATGCATAATATATATATATATATATTTCTCTTAACAGTTTATTAGTTGCTTTGTTTGTTTTCTCATATTAGTAATTTGAAATCAATTCCCAAAGATGCAATTATGGAACTATCAATATTTATAACTTACTTGCGCTGACACTCTGTGATCACTTGTAGAAAACGACTTAAACTGTACTGATTCCCCGTCTGGAATCTCTTTACTATCGGAATCTGCCCATTCTAAGGGCACTTTTGCATCAGCATCGGTATAAGCTAATACATTAAAGGTGTAGTTGCCTTCATCTTCCAACTCTGGAAGAAACGTCACACTTGCCGTAATCTGTCTAATCAATGCACGTATCTGCTTCTGAGTCTCTTGCAATGGCACATCTTCATGTTCTTTACCTTCATCCTTTTGATAATGATCGATATCAAACGACCATCTTTCCACTATATCTCCTTCATCTCGATCCACAATGCATAAAACTATTTTATTACATTTCCCACCAAGTAACCATCTGTGAACTTGAGAAAGAATCTGTCGAATATATTGCTTTAAATCATCATCTTGGGTCTTCAACAATGATAATTCATATTTCTTAACCACTACAAAATCCTCTGATGGATAGATCCCTCTCTGACATAGGATAGAATTGATACCATACTCAAAAAACTCAGTGATAGTTCTTGTAGAACCTTTTAAACTAATTGATTTCGACATAATGATATCCTTAATAGCTTTCCAATCCACTTTTAGTTGAGTATTACCTTTGGTCTGTCTCGTAAATTGTTCAATATCAGTTTTTAATTGATTTAAATTTACATGAACTAAATGTATTGAAAAAAGTATATCAATTATTAAGAACTGAAACCAGTTTGTATAGCATAAGAAGGTTGCTTAGTTTGTTGATTTGTGAAAGATCAATCTCACTGTAGTTGTTGGATCTAGTTTGAGGTGGTTAAGGTTAATTGGAATTTGAAGTTTCCAAAATGGTATGTAACTAGTCGTTTTATCAGGTTTTAAGATAAATGAGATCAAAATAATATTTACTAACCGATTGTAATAATAAATGAGCCTACTCATGGACAGACAGTAAAAAGTAGTCATTCGTGACTGATATCAGTCTGTTTTATGTTGTCGACATTGTTGTTGTTTTTGTTATAGCATGGTATTAAAAGAAGACAATGGACTGAAGAACTTCTTAAACAGAAGAAGTTACAAGATCAAAAAAAGATCAGTGAATATAGAGATCTTACCAAAACTGTTTTAGATAAAAAACGTAAGGAGATATATACTTTGGAGACATTTGATTTGACCACCCAGGTACTGAAGATAAATCCTGAGTTCAATTCTGTTTGGAATTATAGGAGGGATATTATTAATTCTTTAAGAGATGGACTAGCTATTGAATCGTGGGAAGATGAATTGAATTTCACCATGGCTCAAATGAAAGTATTTCCAAAAGTGTATTGGATTTGGAACCATAGAGTTTGGATTCTTAATAATTACCCCAATTCACCACTGAAGATTTGGCAAAGGGAATTAGTTATTGCCAGTAAAGTGCTTGAAATGGATGCAAGAAATTATCACGCATGGCATTATAGAAGAATAATTGTTAATGAAATTGAAAAAATCAGTGGTAAAAGTATGGATAAGTCAGAACTAGAATATACCACTTTGAATATTAATCAAAATATATCAAATTTTTCGAGTTGGCATCAAAGAGCTAAATTATTGCCAAGAATGTTTAGTACCGATGAGGTAATGGATAAGAAGAAGTTTATTAATGATGAAGTATCTTATATTACAAATGCGATGTTTACTGATGCTGAAGATCAATCTGTTTGGTTATACATTAAATGGTTTATAAAAAATGAAATTGTTTCCAAGACTTTATCTGGAGATGAATATCAGAAAATGCTTAAAGATTTGAAAAATAATATACTTGCTATAAATGAGGATGAAGTTGAATTCTCTGGAGTTCAAAATAATTGGTGTTTAAAAATATTGATAGTAATTGAAGATATAGAAACGTCTTTAGGAATAACGAATACTTCCAATAAAACAGAGTATATTGAGCAATTGATAGAGGCTGATCCGCTAAGGAAAAATAGATACATGCATTTGCTAAATAAGCACTAAATAATTAAATATATCGTTCTTGTCAACTAATAAAATAGAAGTCTTAAAAATGATGATTATTGAATGGGAAAATATGAATGGGGATTCCAAAGAGAATATGCAATTTTAACTGATAAATTTTTAAAATATCCTTGTAATCTATTTTAATTGTAAAGCTTAAAATCTATAATAATGTACAAATCACATTTATAAGCTTAACAAATGTTATGTTCAATGTGAGGGATGAGGGGAAATTCATAAAAATAAAATTACAATCACACATCTTCAGTTATTTTAACTTACGTTTCTTTGCATTTATAATTGCGTTTTCTTCTTTAACAAACTTTGAAGATAAAACATATCTTCTCTCTCGTTGTGTAAAATCACGAGCTGTAGTTAAATATTTATCCTCTTCTGTTTCTTTCATTGTAAAGTCTTTTAATCCAGTTTCAGGACTTGAATTTGCCTTTAATTGCATAAACACTTCCAAAGAAACTGGTGGGAATTTGCTAGATGTATGATCCTTTAAATTACAAGAATCAAATGCATTGATGTAATAGTTCAACACTCCGAAGTAAGCTTCGTTAATGGAGTCATTATTTGTTTTGAACTTTTCATAATCATTTACAGGCCAATCTTTTAATTTCAATAATTCAAATGCTACTTTTAGAATCGCTAAAGCTATTGTATGCTGAGGTAAAATCAATAGTAAATCTGTTTTCAAAATGTCATAAGATATAACCCATGATAAATGGCATAATTCATAGGTGAAACCTAAATGTTTGCCAAATTTAACAATATATTCGTCAATATGAATACGATTATTTACCCTATAGTCAAAGCAGCATGCTTCTAACAATCGCAGCTCAACTTGGAATATTCTTTTCTTAAAATTTTCAATTATATCTTGATTAATATTATTAATATTTCGTAGTCTAAATGAAACTATACATAATTCATTAATCTTTTTAAATGTCTCTACTTGTTTGCAACTTAATAGAAGTGCTGTAGTTGCCACTGTATGGCACATTTCAGTTTCAAATTTATTAAAGACATAATATCTCTGATAATAATAAAATGCGGTCTCCAAAGTCTTTCTTGGGAATTGAAATTGTACACAGATATCACTCATAAATTTAAATATCACAAGTTTCCTCTGCATATATGAACGTCGATCGGGTATCGTATTTTTATAAGCCTGTTGAAGCTCATTTCTTGTTAAATATGGCCTCGAAAGAGATAGTTGAACTTTCAATGTTGCAAACATCTTCGGGAGTTGTTTGACTATTCAAATCCCTTAAATCCCCCGAACTCACATTGACAGGTATCTTTCCTTCTGCAATAACGTGTGTATCCTCCGCCCGGACCTGTTTTGGCATTCGGGGTTAAGATAAGAAAGGGCGCGTGAATGAAACTTTTTTTTCCCTTGGCCTTCCCAACAATCCCAATCTAAAAACAAACTTAGAACCCGGCTGCTACCACTCAAAACCCAACCCAGTGGGCAAATTGTCCCCCTTGAAGCACCCCCAAAAGCTTGGGCAAACTTTATTACAGTTCCTCACACCCCCCTAAGGACCCCCCCCCCAAAATCCCCAATATTTATTTTAGTTAACACCCCCCTAAACACATGGAATTTCACACCCCGTTTAATACCCACCTGGGAA